AAAGACCTCCGGCCAAGGACAAGAACCTTTAGATCATTCACGTGAAACACAGAAAGCAGACCCCTCACCCGGAAATAACATGTTCACTGAGACACATTCTGGCCAACGGTATCCAACACCTTGACCAACTACTTCGCCAGGTTACCTTTGGAAGCAGTCCAGGAATCCCACTTCACCGTGGCCAAGGTTCGATTCAACGGCCAAAACGGTGTTCAGGTCCTCACTAGCCAAAGTTCTCGCTCTTTAGCCGCCTCGTTGGTCACTGCCATTGAATCGGTATGTCGCACGACTCAATGTCCGTGGGTGCTTTGGCGTCCCCGCTGACTAGCCCTAGCGAAGGCCGAAAGGATTCTCAACATATCCATTGATCCCCTCTCAGAGAGCCTCAGATATCTCGTAAATATCAGAAAGACGGTGTATCTTGAATTCCATTGTGCACGTCACCGTGCCAGAAGAGATGGGCCGCAGCGAGCCTGAACTATAGCTCCAAGCAAAGTCCAATCAAGGACTTGTCTCAATGCGCAATATTCTCACTAAGACCTCGTTGTTGTGATTCGAACGAGGGAACAAATGGCCCACTGTGGATTTCCACATGAAGATTGTGAAAGCGGCTATTCACACCCGCAGTCGACGCTGTGTAGAGAGGCATTTACCTAGACTGTGGGCGTCGTTCTGCCAAGGTTGCTCGACGGTCAAGAATATTGGAGGACTGCCTTGAAGAGTATTTCAACAACAAGGTCAACGTTTCCGGGATAGCGTGAGGGAAAAGAAGGGGGATGACGAAAGGGGCCCATCTACGAGCTCGTCTTCTTCAATGCAATTTTGGAGTCTCATCCTTCACCGATTTGGTTAGCAGACCAAAACTGGCTTTCAGATCGAAATTTAGGCTTCCTTGTTCTCAACCGGCGATTCCATCTTGTCATTTCACCTTTTGGACATCTTCCAATACGGATGCTCCTGGGGAACTCATAAAGCAAAATCAAGGCTCTCTCGAGGTCTGATCAGCAATTTCGTGTTTCTAAGCAACTACAACGGTCCCGGAAACCGCTTGTTCCTGGGGACTCGAGACCACTACCAGGGAATAAGACACTCTACAAGTCCGGCAATTCTTAAGATCTGCTGTCGGTAGAAGCTCATCTACTACTTCCCCTTCGTACGAACCAGACGTCAGATCCTTCCACAGCAAATCATCCATTGGCCGTGTAACCAAACGCAAACATCATGGGTTCCACGAACGACAACCATTTCACTGGGGGCTTCGGTTCCTTCAACCTATCGTCCAGGAAAAACTGGAACTCATTCAATGACGATAACCCAGAGTCATTGAGGTTTAAACCGGCCTATCCCCTGCAAGTCCAGCGATTTTTTTCCACCGCTCATCTGCCGCTTCGCCTTCGTGCGAACTAAGCGTCGGCAAAACTTTGCCGCCATGGTTTTCCCCCGAGAGATACTCTACAAAATTTTCGAACAAATCATTGCTTCGTTTGAAGAATACCATGACGATAATCTTGTGCCACAATCTTTCAGGGGCAAGGGCATCCGCTTTCAGAGCTTTGGCCAGTCGGCCAACAAGACAGTATTGTATCGATCTCATCCTGAAAGTCCTTCACCTCCTTCACCTCCATCACAGGACAGAACAGACGTTGGTTGACTTGTATGATACAGACAATATCAATAGCGGAGGGAATGGTGGCGTTTGCTGGGCCATCTCAGAGCCATCACTTCGACCTTACATAAAAGGGGTTCTCCAGTCCTTCCTTATTACCCCGGATTTGTCTATGGGACAGGCAGATTGGTAATGCTTGATGCGTTTTTGTGTTAGAGGAAATTTTCTGCCGAAACTTCAAGACCGGAAGAATCATGATATGGTTTGCCTTGTGCCAGAGAATTGATAAACCCCAACTTTGTAGCTATAGCGGTGAAGAGATCAATCGAATTGTTTGACAATGTCATAGACTGGACAATTTCATATACTGCATATAATTGAACCCTACTAAAGCATGTAAACCTGCAAGTGAAGTGAAATCTATAACTCTGGTTATCAGTTTAAGAACTTGCACCAAGATTGATTCCTCGATTATAATCAGAATTTGAGTGCATATCTAGTACATACGACCATACCCACTGGAAAACTCGGGATCCCGTCCGCTCTCCCATAGATAAGCCAGTGAGGGCCAGACTAGTAGTTGGGTCGGTGACGACCAGCGAATCCCTGGTGTTGTATGTATTTTTCTCATCTTTTTCTTTTTTTTCTTGTCAATCTTTCTTTCTTTTACATCATCACGTCTTGAAACGGACATGAGGGGCTCCAGGGTTCTCTGTCATCATAGTACTAAGATATTTTCACAAGAGATTCTTTTTCGTGGTCTGCAGGTTGTTGTTCGAGGTTTGAAGGTTAAAAATACCTAGAAGAGTTGCTTCTCTGCGTGGCATGGCCGTCCGCATAAGCTTCTCAATACCAACGCTTTGCTGTCCCCATGTTGCGCAGGATAATACTATGGAAAACGTAAGAATATCCCTCGGGAAGCAGAACCGTGGTGGTGGCCTGAATGGCGAAATTGGCGGAAGGGTGGGAGCGTGTCACTTATAGTTTGAACACCAAGGTTCAAGAAAAGGGTTCCGTTGTCACTGTTTATAACTCCTCAAACGTTGAACAAACAGGTCGTGTTGCCAATGAGGTGGTTCTGAAAATGGAAATGACGGAAGGAAGTCTCAGATGGATGAGAAGCAAGTCCCTTCGGAGATGGGTGCCAATGAGAGGGATTCGATGAGGATACAGGTTAGCAGCGAACTTTGATGTGTGCAAAAACAATATATTCTTGTTGAATACCACGATGCTTTGCCATTGCAGCTTTGACAATCGCCAGTCGGTCCCGATGTATTCACTATCAGCACAGACACGCCATACACAAGCAATGAGAAACTAAATTCGTGAATAGATAGGTAGAACGTATTGAATATATCATTGATAATCGTAGTCGACAATTATTGACCTATACAGACATTTCCATCGCAATCGTCTTGTGTGGCTCGTAACCCTTGATAACAAAATCCTCGGCCTTCCACCCATCGATACTACCTCCCTTCTCCCTCTGGATCTCCAGCGTCGGGAACTCCCTCGGCTCACGCTCCAGCTGCGTCTTGAGCGCGTCTACATGGTTAAGATAGACATGCGCATCGCCCATAACATGAGTCAAGCTCCCCGGCACCAAATCACACACGTGCGCGAGCATGTGCGTCAGCAGCGCGTAGCTGGCAATGTTAAAGGGCACACCCAGTCCCATGTCGCACGACCTTTGATACAACTGGCAGTGCAAGTGGCCCCTTGGCTTCTCTTTTGGTGTATCCAGTTCCCCTTCCTTCTTCTGTGCCTGTGTACCACCCCGTGTCCTCGACCCCGGGTACGATACATAGAACTGCGCAAACATGTGACAAGGCGGCAACACCATCTGGCTCATGTCCTTGGGGTTCCAGGCACTCAGAATCAGTCTGCGATCGTACGGGTTGTTGCGGAGAGTGTCGATGATGCGCTGGAGTTGGTCCACGCCCTGCCCGGTGTAATCGGTCTCGCAATCGACGTATTCGGCGCCAAAGTGCCGCCATTGGAAACCGTATACGGGACCTAGGTCACCTTCTTTGCGGTGGGAAAGACCGAGCATGTCGAGAAAGGCGCGGGAACCGTTACCATCCCAAATTTTGACTCCTTGGGCGGAGAGCGTGGTGGAAGAGGTCGATGCGGAGATAAACCAGAGGAGCTCGAGGAGAACAGCTTTGGTGAAGACCCGCTTTGTGGTAAGGAGTGGGAGGATGGGGGTGTAGGTGTAGTCTGGCGATGACGGATTGGAGGAGGACCCAGAGGAGGAGGAGGGTCGGGAAAGGGCGAATTTTAGAGGGGTCGGGGCGAAGATGGAGTAGGTGCCTGTTCCTGTTCTGCAATGAGAAGAGGTGGGAGGTGGTTAGCTGGGAATGGAAATGCGAGGAAAAGATGGATTGTGGTGAGAATATAATTGGATGGGGGACTGAACGTACCGATCTTCACGGAGTTCACCTTCGTCCAGAATTTGGCGGACGAGATCGAGGTATTGGTATTCTTCGTGACGTTTTGTTGTTGGGCTGGTGCGAGAGGAGGAGGTTTGCGACTGCGACTGCGCTGGCGCAACGGGTTCGGATGTGGTGACCGTCATGGTTGTATGTCAAATCGCAACTGAATAGTGTCGAAAGACTCTAGCTGCTTCTTCTCGGTAAGTATCCTAAACAAGTTGTGACGATGCCAATTCTTCCGGCCCTGGACATTAGGAACTTTTTGGGGGACGCGTTTAGAGCGCGACTCGATTTACAGTAGTCGCTGAGATTACCCCATCCCCACTATATTGTGGGTTTGTGTGACAGGCACTAGCAGCAGCACGTGCTTTCGCGTCACCTCGTTGTTCAGATTCAATGTTTAGCACAACCTCTTGTCTGGCAACGCGACTACTAGTATCTTGTCGGGATTGAACCACGAGAGCGGTAGGAAAACAAGGCAACGACCAGAAGTCTTTCTCAGATTCAATTACTTAACTCAGCGTTGATGGCTTCGGAGTGGGCGTGCGAACATCCTCCATCATACCAACGTATACCTTGATCTTTCCCGTCTGGGACATCTTTGTTTGGCATGATGGACCGTGGTAAGTTACCTGGCAAAGGCTGAAGCTGCGCTGTCGAGACACAGGTATGTAGTTCAGTGATTTTCGACGCCTGCAGCTGGGTTGCCTGTCACAGGTTGAAACGTGCTTCTCACATAATTTTAGCCGACCGACAGACGCGCAGCGGCTGCATGAGAGTGATGAACTTTCACTGATCACTATGAAGATGCCACACGATGAGCATCCACCGTGACAGCAGAAGCTTTATTTTGTCTTCTCTCATCGTAACGGCAGCTAGAAAGATATTCCATGGATGAGCTCATATCTTAAACTAACAAACTAAACTCGACCAAAAACAAGCCATCCGCCAACAAAAAATCAAGCAGTAACCTCTGCCTTCTTTTCGTGAATGGGCAAGTCCTTGGACCCCGACTCGGACTCCGGCTTTCTCTGCGTAAAGTGTCTCGGCAACCGGTTTTCCTCTTGGGTGTACAAGTATCCGGCCTCGGTCCTCGCCATGTCGTTCACCCACTGCTCATTGCCCTTCAATCCACCCTTGCCACTTGTCTCTACGCCAACTTCGGTCCACTTGGCAGCCAAGTAGAACCAGGCAAGCGCGTTACCGACAGTGCCGACCTCATCAGACACGCCCGTCCGTGCCGCATGGTGCATTCTCTTCCAGAGCTCATCATCGGTGAACAGCTCCATCAGATGACCAGCCACGGCACGCCAGTCACCAGGGGCGACAAGGAAACCATTGACCTTGTCCTTGACCTGTAACGGGATACCGCCAACGTTGGTGACGATGACGGGTCTGCCGGCGTGCAAGGCCTCGGAAACCTTGACCTCGAAGCCTTCGCGGGTGGAAAGCTGCAACGCGACGTGGGCATTGGAGAGCAAGGTGTTGATGACCTGGTCGTTGGGCTCCAGACGCATGACGCTGACGTCCCGAATCAGGTCGGGGTAATATGTCTCAAGCTGGGCCATGGTCTGATCGTAGATGAGGGAGGCGTCGGGGTCATCGACGGAACCATTGCCGCACACAACGAGCTGCGGCACGTCAGTGATGCCGGCTTTGTCGCAGCGGCGACGGAACTCCGCATACGAGTCGATAACGGTGGGGATGCCCTTGGATGGGTCGAAGCGGGCCACCTGGATGATGTATTTGCGGGCGGGCCAGTTGAGCTCCGTCATGCGCTGCGAGTGGCAGGCGTTGTTGTACAGATTACCGTAATAACCAGAGTCCCAGTGGTTGAGGTGCTTGTTTAAGCCGTCAAGCCAGTCGGTGGTGGCTGGCAAGTAGACGACCTTCTCGCGCGGGACGTTGTGAGGGACGAAACTGGGAATCGGGTGGCTGATAAACATGTCGGCGCCCTGGATGTTGCCCCACAGGAAATCCCAGATGTCGGCTTGAGGCGAACCGGCCTTGGCGACGAGGTCGCTGCGAATCTGGATGTGCGAGCGGTAGAGAACGGGGCGGTTAGGGGTATACTTCTTGATCAGGGGGATCAAGCCGGGCATTTGAGGGTCATCAATCACGACAATATCAGCACCGCCTTCCTCGGGTGCACGCAAAGGGCCGCCCTCGGAGAACCAGTATCGACTGGCATTCTCGTTAATCCAATCAATGATGGCCTGCTTCTCTTCAGCAGATACGCGCTGATCGGGATGGCTGACACCCTGCAGGATGTTGTGGATGTTTTTGGTGATGCGGAAGACACCGGGTCGTGGTTTTGGCACTGGAACAGTGTTAGTTGACCGCCTAGCGTTTCGGAAAGCAAACTGTTTGACTTACCGTACCAGGTGAGGTCGACACCCAAAAGACGAGCGAAGCGTACGAGAGCGTGCCGCATAAGTGCAACACCACCGCCTTGGGGTGTTGAGCTGAAGAAGGCCATCTTGAGCTTGTTGGCACGAAGCTTCTTGGCAAATGTCAGAGTGGTTTCCCACGTTGCCGGACCGCATGTGTCTTTGTGGTTCTGGACGGTGGTAAGGTGAGCGCGGAATCCAGCATCGGTTTGGACAATGCCTCGGAATCCGACCTGGAGGAGAGGAACGAGGGAAGGGCCAAAGTGCCTAACAAGGGTTGTCAGTATGCTCTTCAGGGTGAACTGACAGGAGAAGGGGGACCCTTACATGATGCACTTTCGGGCCATGGAATCGGCTTGTTCATCGACTCGCTTGACATCCCAGAAGGTCGCTTCCTTGTGCTCATCATCTGGGCGCATAACGATGGGCACGATATCCACCTCGAGCCAGAGCCGCGAACAGAGAGTTGGGCTCATGTACTTGAGTGTCGTGGGGAGACCAGCACCGACGAACTTGGAAAAGTTCTCGTGCTCATACTTTTGCACTTCGGAGATGACATATTCTGCGATGAGGTCCTCGCCCATTTTCAGGGCGTCATCGAGCTCAATGTGCTTGACTGAGAAGTCAACCAGGTAGACTGTGTCATGAATGGCCAGGGCCACAACGGCCGTATGGTCATCAGCAAACACGGCAGAGATACCAAGATAGAGCGTCTATGGGACATCCGATGTTAGCATGAAACGTCGACGCAGTCAAGCAAGCCGTGGTGGGCAAGGTACTCACAGTTAGAGCAGGACCAAAGTGACCCTCCTTCTCCACCAGAGTGCTCATCTGGCGCTTACGGTGCACCGAAGTGCCCGTGGAGAACTTGCGGGCCTTTTCAAACGCCATGACTGCGGTTGCGATGGGCTTGATGCTGTGGTGATGGGGGGCAGCCGACCGGGTATCGTAGGTCTGGGTGTTGTCGCCGCTAGGAGACGTGTAGTGGCCGGTGTTGGCCTGGACGTGGTCGAGGTGTTGTTGCTTCTGGAGCTGATGCGGAAGGGAAGGTCTGGAATTATACGCAACAGTGTCGCTGGTGGGGGCAGGCGTCTGGTCGGCCAATGGATCTCTTGGCTGAAGATTACTGAGAAGCTGCTGGACGCCAAGCGAAGGGGTAATCCGACGCGAGCTGGAGGGCCCGGAAGTATCATTCAACGGACTCGTAGGGCTTTTTGTGTCGGAGCGGGACGAGTCGTTGTCATTCGAGGCCGGGTGGTGTGGGGTGGTGTCTGCGAATGGATTTTTGAAGGCGATGCCGGCGCTGGCGGACTCGTCGGTCTCGGCCTGCTTGGGTTCCCTATCAACCATTGCATCCAATTGATGGCTTCACGTTGCACTGCACGGTAAGTAGTGGCCTTGGGTGGGTGGTGTGCAGGTTCTGCAGTGTTACTTCCACTTTTTGATTAAGTATTGGGAAGTCTCTTGGCGGGCACGACCTGGGACACGGAAGGTGGGAGGTGAGGTGGTGACGCAACACGTGCGGGTAGTGTAGTGCATTGTATGGGTTGGCATCCACCACCTTTGTCGCTCTCGTTTGGCTAAACCCCCGGGATCCCCTCCTTCTTTCCCGTCTGGCCATCTGCATTGTCCGGTTGATCCTTGTCAGTTTCCGGCTCTCGTTCAATGATCAAGGCGGGGTTCTCTCTTTCCAGTTTGGACCTCTACCTCTAGACCCCCGTGACGGCGGTACGGGCACGGGCATCTGAGGCTGTCGGGTCTTTCTGTTGTCTCCTCCTTCAACTCCTTCGATGTCTTACCAAATCCCTCTTTCACATTCACCCCAAGGTTGGGGTCCGGTGTGTTCCGCTATTACCATACTGGTTTACAGGTGTGACAGTTTCAGTTTCCTACCTACGACGTATTTCAATGACACCGGCCACACAAGTGCAAGTGTGATTTCGGAGAGTTACCTCGCAAAAGTTTACCTCCCTTGTCCGAGGGCAATTGCCACCTGTGATGACTGCCAATGTTACAATCTGAAATTGTTGGACGGCTGCCGATCGCTTGCTGCCAAGTGAAGTCTGTGGCTCTTTGTCGAGGTACAACGGGGTTACGCTTTGAAGTTCAGGGTCGATGCTTGTCCGTAACACTCTACTTGGTATTTCCCCAGACGTGGTGGCAGCTGATCTCGACGCCATCCCACCACCCCACTGGGAGAAGGTGTCTGGAAGCTGTGAGGGGCGGTGTTGTACGGCATGGAAGCCAAGGAGAGCTGTCCCGGTACGAATTGCTCTTTGCATGAGACATATAATGGGCACAAAGGTCGGTGAACGAAGGAAAGCAATCACCGCATCACAAAGTGATAGCCGTTGTTTTGCCTGCGGGCCACCCGCAGCATCCGGGATCGGTTCTTGGTAGACGGGGCATGTCTCGCGGGGGGAAAGCTGTTGGACGCCGGGAAACGGGTGATGGCTGAGGCGTGATCAAGGAGAGCCAGTGCACTTGCAATGTTTCGGATAAAGTGTTATTGGTTCAGACAAAGTCACCTGGCTGTCAAGCTCTAAACTGTGTCTACCTAGGATCCCGGGTTTATTGGGGCGGCCGGTGAGGCTGATTAGGTAGGGGGATGTGGTTGTGCTAAGTCGAAACTGGGTGGCTCATCTCGTATCCTTGATGGCGAGATTCTCCAATCCTCTGGCATCGGAAGCTGGTCGCCTCTTCATGATGATGATGTACTTGATACCCACTTCGCCCGCTGTAACGATGTAGTGCTACAGACAAGCTGGAGCTCCCTTACCTAGTGCCCTGTTGTTGTGTGCAGATCATGCTTCCATACGGGGAACTCGGAACTGGGAACGGGGACATGGTCGTACCATCGCTTCCGGGGTACTCGTAGCTCTTCGGGAAATGAACCAAGAAAGATACAAGTTGGAATGGCGTCATACGATGAATCTGCTGAGGACTAGCAAGTGGAAGGTGCTGAGCGATCGAGCTGGGCATCTTTTAAGCCCAACTTCCAGATCCCATCCAGCCCGGGCCCTTCAGGCGAGAATGCGAACATGGCGAGTTTAATTGATGCTAGGTACGGTTTCCACAGAAGTCCCACCATCTGGCCGCTGAGGTCGTCGTCTTCGGGTCTCATCCGCTACGAGCTAGGCCCTAATAGTGGGGTTGAAGCCTCAGTGCGGGGTGAAAGCGGGACGTCACGACTTCGCCAAGCCGCTAGAAGAGACAGGCGTGCCGGGGCAGCCTCCGGCGCTTTCCAGCGGGCCAAGTCATTGTGGGCCAGACATTTGCGTCATTTCAACAGCGACGACGAACGGGTTCTAACGGCGCCCGGCCGGCATCGGGTTAGGTGACTTGGGCAGTGCCCGGCGCCTTCCGAGGACGAAAAAAAGGCTGATTGCTTCCATTGTAACATCCCAATTGGTTCGAGTCATGTCTCAAAACGCTGCAAGAAGCAGAAATCAAGCGAAATGTAGAAGATGCTGGACGAGGGCCCAATTTCTTCTTCACTCGTCTAGACAATTCCCAGCAGCTGGTCACGAGTCATGTGGACCGACTGATGCTTCATCGTCCGACCGACAGCGATAACCTCACCTCGGCGCCCCCCACAGCCGCAATGACAGGCACAGACGACGAGCGGTTTTGTCCCTCAGATTTGGGAACCGGCAGCCCTGTCCTTCGTGACCCCATTTTGCGGGTAAAAGGCCATCACAAGCCTGAGCATCATCCAGGGACACGTTCGTGATCGTCATCCATCACAATCGTGCATTTCATTCACCTTAGCTCTCTTCGGACACTCTCTCTTAGCCTCCTTTAACCCTGATTCAACCAAGATCACACGTTAACGAAATCATTCTTTTACTTCTCGTTATCGTAATATCTCTCTGTTGCTACACAAAAGCTTTTATTCAAGGCTCCCGTCTACGCCCGTCCAGTGTAAGACTCTTGAGAAGCCAATAGATTCTCCGTATCCTGGAATGAAGTCCTCAATAAATAATAACCTACGACCAATCCCAGACCGGCTGGTATTTTTCAAGTTTCCATTTTCTTACTTATTTGTAAAGCACGAACGCCCATATCTAACTTTCTAACTAATTGAGCTCCTCTACGCCCTGCGGAGACTATTGAAATGCCCTATCGAAGCTAGTATATTTCAACACAACTCACTTTCGCTATTGAAACACCCATGCCCATCATACTCAAAGTTGGTATCCTGGATCATGATCGCGGTGAACGTTTACAAACTTACGCAGAGTTTTACAAACTTGGATTGTGAATATGATATGGAATGTGGTTACGATGCATCTCAATTCAGTTCCCAGGCTACTTATATCACTCAAAATCCAGGAAAGAGGAGTCTATACCATCATGCTAGCCAGTCATGGACCATTCATCAAGATTGGCCTGTCTCGTCATATAAACGACACACGGGGTTCAACGGGAATACGCGATGCCACTAGTGGTTCTTGACTAAAAGTTAAGTATAGCAGGGTACCCTTTGCGCTAAAAGCGAAGTTTTCATGGTAAAACCCAAATGTCCAGATTCTGTCTCTACTCAAGAGCTTCATATCGATGTGAACCCATGTTTGGACAAGGACGTGCTGCTCGCTCTAACGTCAACGTCACCTTCCTGCACCGTTGACATGACGCTTCGTGACCTTCTCGTACCCGCAAGTAATATCACATACAACACTACCACCAGATAATCACAAGCTTTCTGAACAGCAGCAACACATTAGTCAATTAAAGCGCCCCTGCTACTACACCCCAAGGTATATACAACTTAAGCCTCAAACCTCTTGGCAACAGTCTTCCAGTTAATCACGTTCCAGATCGCCTCAAAGTACTCCGCCTTCCTGTTCTCATACTGCAAGTAGTACGCATGCTCCCACGCGTCGATGCCCAACAGGGGCACGTAGTTGCCAGTAACAGGGTCCTGGTTGGCACGGGTAATCAGCGCGAGCTTGCCGTTCGCAGCCTTATCCTTGGCCAACCACGCCCAACCCGAGCCCTGAATACCGGCCAGCGCAGCATTCATCTGCTTGACGAAGCTCTCGAACGACCCGAACTCGGTCGTGATGGCCTTGCCGAGAGCACCATCGGGCGAACCGCCACCCTCGCGCGAGGCGGGGGCCAGGTTCTCCCAGAACAAGGTGTGGTTGAGGTGGCCGCCGCCGTGGAAGTTGAGGAGAGGGGCGACCGAGGCGGCCTTGGTGAAGTCACCCTTGGACTCGGCCTCGGCAATGGTGGTCAGGGCCGAGTTGAGGCCGTTGACGTAGGTCTGATGGTGCTTGGAGTGGTGGAGCTCCATGATCTTGGAGGAGATGTAGGGCTCGAGGGCGCCATAGTCGTCTAGGGAAAGGGGAGGGAGTTAGCTTGGGGTTTTTTTTTTTCCCTAAAGCCATTGGGGTTCCTTGTGGAAGCGGAGGGAGGATGAGGTGGACTGAGAGGCGTCGTAAAGCGAGCGGTTCTTGGGGGAAGACTTACACTGAAGGTCGGGAAGAGTGGCCTTGCCGCGGACAAAGGTAGCGGCGGGCTTGACGGCGCTGGCGGCGCGCAGAGCGCTGCGGGCGACCGGAGTAGCGCGGAAGAGAGATGCGGACATTGTGACGGCTTGTTTATTGAGAGAGACTAGGAATTAGGTGAACTGGTCAGGTCTAAAGGTGCAAGAGAAGGACAATCAGATGATCAATGGGACGGCGGCTACCTCGAAGTAAATAATTTGGATGACTGATTGCGACTATCGGAAATGTCTCTTTCTATTTACTTATCTAATAAGCTCGGATGATGATGGAAGCTCCATGGAAACCGTTCCAACTAATTCCGTCATAGCCCCACCCCGCCGAGGGGGGAGGTGGGTACCTCTATGGCTCGGTGTGGCTGAAGGGGAACAAGGAGCTGTCTCTGAGTGGTGAATAAGCCACAGCTTCGATTGTGGTCTCTTGGCATGGCGGCGCTCTTTCTCCGTCGCGTCTCCCACTTCCAGAGCGCGTCTCCCCAGAACCTAGATTGATCTCGAAATCCTGACGAAAACTTGGTTTGGGTCAACTGGCCAACTCAACACTGCCCAACTCATCTACAAACGCCAGGCCGGTCCAATTGAAGCTACCAATATTACCACCATGTCATATTACGATATCGATGCGATCCTGACCGACGCAGAGGTACCCTCCATCTCCCTCCCCCTCCAAATAGTACCACCCATCGCCAAAACACCAACTAACCCGAAAATCCTCCCTAGAAAATTCCCTGTACCTTTCAAATCGACGTCCCCGACCTCGGCTATCTCGACAACCAACCGGGGCACACCCTCAAGTCCGGCTCGCGCGTCGCTCTCCCCATCTGGCTGGCTGAAATGCTCGCCATTGCTAACACGGGCACCGTCGACATGGACGACCCATCACAGTCCAGCAAATCCTTCATCACCTTCGACCTGCCCCCGGCACTGGGTAACGACGTTGTTCAAGCTTTGAAAGCCGACCCGCGCTCCGTGCCGCTGCGCGATCAGAGCGCCCACTTCTACGCCCTCGCCACGCACATGATGGAGTTGTCGGAGGAGCCGGAGCTGAGCGCGGTGTTAAGGAAGACGTTTGTTTCGAGGGCGGCGGAGATCGCGTTGCATGCTAGGAAGGTGGGTGGGGGCGGGAGTTCGTATCATGGTCGAGATGGAGGAGGAGCCGGCGGAAAGGGCAAGGGGAAGGCGACAAAGGACGATAATGCCAGCAATTTGGGCGTGGGAGGTGCGGGTGAGGACTTTTTGCGGGGGTTGGATGAGTGGGAGAGGAAGCTGTTTAGGAGTGCACATGATGGGACGAAGGCGAGCAAGGAGTGGATGGAGAATGTCAAGAAGAGGTGAGTGGAGTGGTGCTGTTGGAGCGTTGTTGCTACCGCTGGCGCCTGATCGGTGTTTACCTCGCAACGAACTAGCGCTTTGGTTCAAGCATCCTCCACATACTCAGACTGCGTTCGATGCAGTGTATAACAACAGGTCACCGGCGACCTCCCAAGCTCATATACGATGACGAAGCTGTGAATCGGTCAACATCACGGCTCGAGAGCATCGGGGAGTCTTTGGGTTTGGTTGTGTCACCCTCCCATGGAAGTATGGCGGACTTGGACTGCTATAGCTGGACGAGTATCCGACGCATCGCTGATCTTCACAGAGTTGTACTGTCAGCGGCACAGCAGACCATCTGGCCTAATGATGAGGAAGACTCACGAGATACTAGGAGGACATGAGGATCCGCGCTTTCTGTTAGCATGGGCTTCGCTGATGGATGAATCGCTAGCGACACTGGGCCCTTCATTTCGGTATACCATCTATTGATTTCATCCATTATGGTCTATAAAATATCAACAACAAAGCCGAAGCTCATCTTGGCTTGGCCGACAAGCAGCCGCCACCCTCACCCCCGAAACACTCTGGAGCGAGCAATTTGTCTCTCCTCCTTCTTAGACTCAGTTGCAGCAGACATGGCCCTTCTCACACGCCTCTTCTCCCGATTCTTCCTCCTCTCCTCACGGCTCAGCCTATTCTCCCCGTCCTTTTTGGCACGGCGGTTGAGACTCATAAGCATACCAACCTCGCCGTCAACCTCGTCAACATCTTCAGGCTCGACAGACACAGGCACAGGTTTAGAACGGCCAAAGATTTTGCTCAGAAGATTACCCAGTCCGAGCCCCTGTCCCTTATCTGTTGCTGCATCCGGGTGGGAAGAGCCGGTGGGAACAGTGCTGTTGGATACGGCAGCGGGAAGGACAGTACTATTCGAGCTGCGGCCAGCGAGAGGACCAGGGATGGTGGGCGTGTTGTGGTAATTGAAGATCTTGTGAAGGAGATCGCCAAGTCCAAGGGATCCATGGTCTCCTTTGGTTGCCGCGTCTGGATGGGAGGCACCGCCTAGGATAGTGCCATTGGAAACTCCAGCAGGGGTTACGGTGCCATTTGAGGCCCGGATATTGAGAGTGATGGCGGTGGACGTATCATGGCGGCCGAAGAGGTTATGCAACAGACCACCTATGCCAAGTCCCCATTCCTTTTTGTCCGTAGAGTCAGGATGGGAGGAGCCAACAGTGCCATTGGAAGCCGGAGCGGAAGCAGGAGCGGTAAGGTTCGAGCTGCGGGCATTGAGAACCGCGCTACCGGATGGCGCATCTTCTGTGATGAGGGACAGGGTCGTCAGTGCTTAGAGCTTCCGATATTTTGAGCTTGGTATTCAAGACTTACTCAGCGATCGCAAGGTGTAAAGGAAATCTTCAACATGGAAGGCAGAGACTATGTTGCAGGCGAGGAGAATGGTAATAGTGAAGTTGGCGAAGAAGCGGAGAGAGAGTGGATGACGCATGGCTCCCGGTTGGGCTTGTACCCGCAGAAACAGGTGAGAATAGCAAGCGAGGGCCGATGCGGGAAGGGCGTATGCTACGCCTAGAAAGAGAATGGGAACAGAAACAGCACACCAAGGCTAAAGGAACGTGAAGCAGAGTCGGAAACCAGCCCGAGAGAGAACGAATGAAAGAATAAGAGAAGTTGATATAGACGACAATGACAAGTACAACATGAATGACGATTACGAGTTTTCGTGGCAGTATATATGCCATTCTCCCCTTAATCGGTCTCTCCAACCCCATAAACAAGTCTAACAGGCGCGGTGCCAGCATCACGATCGGTCACAGGATCCTCTAGCTCCAGTCCCAGCCTTGCCCTTACCCCGTTTTCGCCTCGCTCGAATGCCTCGCTGCCGTGCTCACCATTGACACGCGTTGACGTGGACAACTTTGCCGCCGGGCATCCCAAATTTGGGTTAGGACAAGTCCCGACAGTTCGGAAGCTAATTTTTGACAGGGGCTGAAAACCATTAGGTCGGTATCGGGGACCACAGTCCCTCCAACAAGCGCAATCAATGTTGAGCCGGTGTTTCTGATACTGTACATATTGACCTGTTGAGCAGGCCTTAGCGCGTCCATGCTCTTGGAACGACTTTTGCACGAGAAGCCTGAACGTTACGGAAGACCTCGGGTGAAAGTTTGTGAAGCCTGCAGAGCTCAGTGCTCAAGATGGACCTCAACAGACAAAACTCGAAAAAAGGGTACCACCAGATCAGCGGCCCCAATTATCCAACAAGACATCTCACTGGAAGACATGACAGGTATTCAGTTGCTGTTTTTAGGCCTCAAACCGGAGCTGGAAGTGTTCCAGAAACCAAAAGACGGCCATGGGGCTCATAAGGCGACCTGCCTCCCTTGTATTTGTAAACATGTGTCTTGCGTCAAATCCCAAACCTCCAGATAAAATCAAGCAAGAGCGGTCAAATTTGATCCACTGCAAAAGGCATGAAGGCGCTTAGATCGGACTAGCAGGTACGCTGACCAACCAGATGTTGAGATACCTCCGATTTGGGAAATGAGAAGGAGTCGTGTGTTGGGCAGAGAGCGATGATTCGATGGTAAAGCGGTGTGGATATGTCCGGTTTTTTCTTGGGCGTGTACGTGCCAAAAACAAATCAGCGTTCGGGACTGCAACAAGCGCCCTGAAAAGCATCCAGACCCACTTGAGAGAAGATCATCTTGTGATCAAAAAAGACCTCTCACGATGCTGACATTGGTCATATCGAGTAGGTTTCTCACGTTCGTATTGCAGTGTCCAGCTTCACCCAGCTGCTGTGGGCTGTGTTTTGCCTTCATGATTACTGGTTTTGCTGCAGTTATCAACAACCAATCAGGGCCGCTGGTCTAGTGGTATGATTCTCGCTTAGGGTTCATCCTGAGCATTCTTGCGAGAGGTCCCGGGTTCAATCCCCGGGTGGCCCCATTCTCTTTTTCACTTTTTTTGTGGGTTGTTCTTTTCTCGCACCGCTTCAACATCGACGTTTCCAACTCTCGTCATCCTTTTTTTTTTTTCCAAATGTTTTGTGATAATCCAAGACCAAATCAGCTTGAAACCGAGCTGTATGAGCCTGACAATGAGAATTCTGAGAGAAGCCGCAGAAATCACTTAATTCTCCTCGTCGCCTGGCGTATTTGCATCGAATTTTGAGAGACGCAGTGAGTGTGTAAATCGTAAAAGCGAAGAGCACCGGCGAAAAGGACAAGTAGTAAAGAGTAGCTGACTGGATGCCAAAGGTGGAAAACTAGGTACTGTCAAGGCAAAAGGCAATAGGCAATAGGGACACAATGCAAAGAGCGAATTTGAAAACTTGGAAACCCGCAATTGCTGGCCGTCCTTCCATTGCTTCTTCCATTCTTGAAAGCTGGCGAATTTGAAAATATCCTGATATCCACGGAAGGGAAGGCATGACTTGAACTGATCGACAGGTACAGGACAACGGTGCACGTTCCAAGGAACCATGGAAGTTACATGCTGATGACTTGGGAATGTCAAAGCTCCAGTAAGGTGATCACGAGACATCGTTGCGCGCAGACACTGACGGTCGTCGTTTTGTTCACTGTAGGATTGACTCTCAAAAGGAAGCGCAAGACATTTCCTCGTTTGGAAACTTGAACTTTGAAATGAGATGGGCCTCTAACTTAGCTGCGGGAAACTTTGGTCACTTACTGATAGTGGGGTAACAAGCCCATAACTCTGGCGCGCCATATCGGCAATCTTCAGATATGGTGAAGTTGGGGCGGTTTATAGCCCAACCATCCACCTCACCCACTCAGTCCCATCCAAACAACACCACAATATCACAACACCACATCACTACAAGACCACATGCGCTGACGCGAGTGCAACGGGAACCTAAACATTTGCTAGCGGTGATGAATACAACTAAACCCTACTAGAAGACTTCTTCGGGGCATCTCAACCTCATGCTCTGCTCTGCATCGGGGGTTGATCGACATGTCGAGATGTCGTCGGCGCCTTCCAGTATTCCATGCCATTCACGTTCGGACCTCCAACCACGTTGATTCTTCCAGGCTTCCTATTCGCCAAAAGCGCACCAAGATCGTGGCGTTTCGGGAGGCAGGTACCAATGGCGCATATCTTGGCTTTCTTCTTGGCGCTTTGCTTCTTGGCGTCTCTTTTCCCAACGATGGGCGTCCGAGTCACTCTGACCCACGTGTGTCGACGGCGAGCGTTGATTTCTTCATTCTCAACATGTCAACGCCACTCTGCCGACCCATTGGCAATATATAAGCATTCAGCTCTTCGCCCTTGGCTTTTCTTGGCTGCTTCGGCCAAGACCTCTTCTTTTACTCTTGTTATTGTCGTTGGACCCTTCTTCCTCGGGGTAGTTCCTCTCCTGGCGCAAGCCAACCCGCATTGGAGATATGGGATGGACGTGTTGTGTGTTGGACGAGGTGATTTGCTGGAATCACTACTTGTATGGGATGATCTCGGGCCTGGAGAGTGTTTGACCATGGCGGACTTGTTCAATCACGGCGGGACTATGTTCGTTATGTGTGGATATCGACTTCTGTCTTGTTCGTCCAGCAGCTCTGAAAGTGGGAGACACTCGAGGAGAACTCAACGCTGAGCTCAAGAAACTTGACAGAGTGGTCGATATCTTGAGCTTCAAGGCCAGATACCTACCGTGGATATCTTTCGAAGGCAGAAGATATCTGCAGTCTTCTCAATGGGGCAGACCTCAGGTGGCACGTTTGCGAGGAAGCCCTCCAAGCGTTTAAAACGAGACAAGCAGTAAGTATCATTGTCCAGTCTTCTTTCCAAACCCCTTTCGGCTGTTCACAGAAATTGCACTCACTGCCACATCACTGTCACGCGCCTCCAGCCCTCAATGATTCGTTTCCATGCAATCATGTTCGTCGCAGAAGCGAAGCACGTTCACCATCCCACGCCTGTTGACGGCCAATATTACTTCCAGCCTTCTCTGGAGGAGTCGATCGAGATGTTGGTGGGTGAATGGTACCTGACCTACCAATCCTTCTCTTCCCATTCCTTTTCCCCCGGACTCCACTTCCCCAAGGGTTTACGGTCTTGTCATTACGGTCTTGTTCGACAAAAGATCACTAGCATGATATGCACTCGCCACGCGCCGAGCACGCCCAGATCCGAAAACGATGAAGATTCCTCGACCACGGCGGGCATGCCCAGAAGCAGTTAACAACAACGTTCGCACCACCACCACGGCCACCACCACTATCCTCACACCATCTCGCCCACCTCACCTCTTTGCCACACCGTAAATGTGTGTGGGGCAAGCGAATATGCAGCAGTTAGGTCCTTGGCTGGCGAACACCAAGAAACACTCACATCCTGAGATACCACACACGTGTGCCCGACCCTTGGATGAGATCGCCTCCCATACGCATTCCGTTGGTTTTCGACGGGACGTACCTGTTGCAACCTTGTTGCAGTACTCTATGCACAAACAATCCATCCCGCGCAGTCTTGTATATCCTACATATAGGACCCAACCATGGAAACCATCCGAGCCCAATCCTGTCTTCTCTCCAGCAGCAAGCCGCTCACCAAACAAAGAAAAACAACCAGAGCAAGCACAAGAGCTTCTCTTAGAGACGCTCGCGTGCCTCCCCTCACGCGACCAACTACCCTCTTTTCCTCAGTGTTTTGGTTGAAGCAACATATCGTTCAAGATGGTTCTTCATCAGTTCGATTATCTCCTTGCCATCGGCACCATCTTTGCTGCCCTTGATGCTTGGAACATTGGTATGTCAACTCGCACAACCTGCTCCATATTCAACAAAGCCTTGGTAACACTCACTTACAATCATTCCCTTTCACAACAGGAGCCAACGATGTTGCCAACTCATGGGCCACCTCGGTCGCCTCCCGCTCCGTCACCTACCTCCAAGCCATGATCCTCGGTTCCATCATGGAATTCGCCGGTTCCGTTGGTGTAGGTGCCCGCGTAGCCGACACTATCCGCACTAAAGTCGTCGACACCACTCTCTTCGCCAACGACCCGGCTCTCCTGATGCTGGGCATGGTTTGCGCCGTTGTTGCCTCTTCCCTCTACCTGACCATGGCCACTCGCTTCGGCCTGCCCGTCTCCACCACCCACTCCATCATGGGCGGTGTTATCGGCATGGGCGTTGCGGCCGTCGGTGCCGACGGCATCCAATGGGTCGGCTCGGGCATCAACGACGGCGTCGTCTCGGTCTTCCTCGCCTGGGTCATCGCGCCCGGCCTCGCGGGAGCCTTCGCGTCCATCATCTTCCTTATCACCAAGTACGGCGTGCTGCTCCGTTCAAACCCGGTCTACAAGGCCTTTGCGGTGGTGCCCATCTACTTCGGCATCACCGCCTCACTGCTCTGCATGCTCCTGCTCTGGAAGGGCGGCAGCTACAAGGTGACGCTGAGCAACGCCGAGATTGCGGGCACTATCGTCGGCGTCGGCGCCGCCTGGGGCTTGGTAGTCACCATCTTCTTGATGCCTTGGCTTTACCGCGTCGTCATCCTCGAGGACTGGCAGCTCCGTTTCTGGCACATCCCTCTCGGCCCCCTCCTTCTCCGCCGCGGAGAGGTCCCGCCCCCGCCTGCGGACGGCTCCGGTGTCGTCCAGGATTTCTATGCTGGTCGTTTGACAAAGGAGCAACTCGCTGCCCGCCGCGCCGCTCAGACCGGTGACTCAGAAATGGCCGCCGGTGCCGTCACATCCTCCACCTCCAACCCCTTGGCTCCCACCGACGGCGAAAAGGGGGCCACCATCACCAAGGACGACTCCTCCTACTCGCACGACCATCCCGAGCCCGCCCAACCCGCCCAACCCCAAATCAAGACCATGGTCGGCCCTCGCCCTGCTGGTCCCTGGCACTCGGGCGCCGTCCTCTTCTGGTACGTCAAATGGGCCTTGTTCCGCGGCGTCGACCAAGACGTCATCTCGTCCCAAGGCGAAAAATCCGTCATCTCGTCCGACGTCGAGGAACTGCACGCGCATGCGACGCACTACGACAACAAGACCGAATACATGTACTCCTTTTTGCAAATCATGACGGCGGCCACCGCCTCTTTTACGCACGGCGCCAACGACATCTCCAACGCCATTGGCCCTTACGCGACCGTGTTCCAGCTCTGGAAGGACGGCGCGTTGCCCGAGAAGGGCAAGGCGGACGTTCCGGTGTGGATTTTGGTGTTTGGTGGTGCTTGCTTGGTTATTGGCCTGTGGACGTATGGTTACAACATTATGAGGAACTTGGGCAACCGGATTACGCTGCAGAGTCCGAGCAGAGGGTTTTCGATGGAGTTGGGGAGCGCGGTGACGGTTATTTTGGCCACTCGGTTGAGTAAGTTTTTTTTTCTCTCTTTCTTCTTTTATTCGAGACTGCCGGTGCAAGTGGGGAACTTGCTTGCTAACGACGATTGACTTACAGAGCTACCTGTGTCGACTACGCAGTGTATCACGGGCGCTACTGTCGGTGTTGGTCTTTGCTCGGGCACGTGGAGGACCATCAACTGGCGCCTTGTGGCTTGGATCTACATGGGCTGGTTCATCACTCTGCCTGTTGCCGGCATCATTTCGGGATGTTTGATGGGTATCATCATCAATGCTCCTCGCTGGGGTATAGCGGCTGAATGCATGCTGTGGGGTGGATGGCGGAATGGAGGTGCCGCTCGACAAAAGAAAACAGGAGTGGGTGTAATGAAGGAGGGCTGGAAAAGAATTGGAACTGTTTAGAATTTGTGTTGTATTCCTTTGAACTACGCCGCCGCAGATGGATATGTAGTAGATAGCTGTTGCTGGTTTTGTGCTATTTTGTGAGGCTGTTATACCCCAGGTAGTACGCTATTCTGAAATCAATATCAATCCAACGCTAATTGAGAACATAAACATGGCGAGCTCCTTGTGCTCTCCATGATCAATTTCTGTTCCTTGCCAGCTTTCAATCATCGACGTAGTCATCTTCTAGCAGGAGCCTCCGGAGTGAAGGCCACTCGTAGGACTCGGGCGTGCTCTCATCGGATGGCGGAGTGCTGTCACCATAGCGCTTCGAGCCAAGCCTGGGAGGCAAGGATTTGATCCACAAAGCCCTTTCCATACCCGGCTGTATCTTGCTCAACTCGCCGTTCAGAATATGGATTTTATCCATAATGTGTGGACACGGGCACCTTCGTTGGAAGCCCAACAAATTTACTCGTTCGAAGTCATTCTTTTTCAAAAACGTCTCCTCCGGCTCCTTCCATGGTTCTTCCCTGAAAGCCGATGCGACCAGATAATCGAAGCCTCTCTCCCACAAGTGTTGCTCAGCCTGTTTCAGAAGCTGGCTTCCGACGCCCATCCGACGCACAGAAGCATGGACATGAATCGCGATGTAAAGAACGTCGTCACGACGCTCTTCTTTGTTCCAGTCGTCCTTCAGGATGCCAATTGCAAAACCAACGATCCAGTTTTCTCCCGTTGCGAGCTCGGCGACGGCAACCCATAGCATCCCTTTTATAAGGCAATGATTCCAGAGCTCTCGCGTATATGTCGTATGCCTGGCGCGCCACGGCAGCCATGTTCTCAATCTCACGGAGGTCCTCAAGTTCAGGGTAGAGGCAATTTGGACCTTCTTCAGATGAGGAAGATCTCGCGGCCGACCCAGGCGGATAGATATGTCCATGTCAATATGCTGGGGTTGAGGGGGGAGCAATTCATTGGCAAAGACGAAAGAAGATATGCTTGGAGGAGCGCGCGGACCGTCATCTTCGGGTCGAGGTTGCCGGATGCGGCGAGAGTGGATCCCGTCGACCTCAAATAACCCGGCGGAGGAATCCCATGAACGAAACTGGGGACGATTATACGTCGGAATTATGAGTTGTAGAACCGGTCGTCGTGGTCGCTCCATTGGCGGCATACTGCAGTGTCGAGTATCGTCCACGGACAAGATATTAGGTTTCTCACTTGATGTCTCTGCTGGGCGAGAAAAGGCTGGAAAGAAAGCACCGGAGGTTATCGTGTCCAAACCGGCTTAGGGGGGGTTGGGACAAACAGAAGAGAGAACGGAAATTGGACGTTTGATGATGACGACGATGAGGGTAATGCCAGATGATGCTGATGACGATGACGATGGCGAGGACGCAGAGTAGAGGAGCAACGTGGGAAAGACGGTAACTAGGCATCGCTCACTTGAATTCGGAAGTAGGACCCTTATAACCACCCATGAAGGCTCACGGGAAGATGAGAAACGTAGCTGCCGGGGCGACTTTCAGGGCCAAGGCCGGAAGCATCAGAAAGAGCTCAGTGTTTACTTTGCTATTGGGGGAAGAACTGGTGTTGGTGAATGGTAAGAGGTTAGGGAATGTATCCAAAGTCAAACTTGACCCAAGCCATCATACAACATCTCTCGTGGTGCACTTGAGGGCGAGGGAAACAGCATCACAGCGGCGGGCGGTTGTTGGCTGCCTCGGTACTGGCAAACTCCTGCTTGGAGGTGCCGACTGCGGAAAGCGAGAGATGATTGACTAAGTGGAGGGCATGGATGTTGCCGATTGCCTTGACAAGATGGCAGAAGATGCGCTTGCATTTTGAGACTGAAGTTCCAGAGGAGTTGCTACACCTGGCGTTGATGATGTCGATGTCGAAGACGGAAGGGAAGTCGAGGGTGCAGTGATGCCGCCTGGTCGACAGCTGACAGCTTGAAGCCCACCGCAACAGCGTGCACGAGCCACCCAGAAATTCTGGGTGGAGCCAGCAGAGAAATTGCACCCGTGCACAGACCCCTTCACCAAGGGTATTTAATATCGGCCCCCTCCCCTCATTCTTAGAATTTTCTTTCCTCTTTTTTTCCTTCATACTTACCTTGGTCGATTGCGCGGAGATCAAGAACACCGCGTAGTATGGCGGAGGGCCTGCATTGCACATCGTGGTGCCAGCCGCCATGAATTGTCCTTCGGGGCCGTTCCGGCCGTAATTTTTGATGTCAATCCATCATCCATTTCGGATATCTTTTTTCACTATGCTTGCTGCCTACGGGTGGTACCATGGAGAAGAAGCCATTCGCGTTCTTGCATGCATATGGGGAGTTTGTCGTATGTCCGGTACTCGGCGTTTGCATAAACATTTCGACAAACGCGCAACCAGCTCGGCCCGCATCACGGTCAAAACGAGCGCCATCTCGCTAAAAAAGCGCAACAACCACCACTTGTTCTTAGTCTTTGTTCCCACCGCACCCAATTCCTAGATGTTTTCATTTCCGTCCAAACAGCGCCAGGCAGTCACCGTGGTCCAGACAGTTGGAGCGTGTTTATGATCTACAAGCCTGCCGCAAACTGACAACGTCAAGGACGGCCAAGAATTGTCCACTGGCTCCTGGAAACAATAAGTGAATGGAATGGATGCTGCAATTTGAGGACGCCGTATCATCATGTTCTCAACTACTTTGGCTGGCTGGCGGCCAGTCGTCCGTATCGTTCGGGGGACGACATGCCTGTGGTGGGCGGCTTTAACCCCTCCGCGTTTTCCCTTTCAGACAGGAACAGCCAACCCCCTACACAACCCACCTTTACCTCCCCTACCACCAAGCTGGTCTCCGCGAATCGCTGCGCAGTTTGCCGCCTGTAGCCACGGGCTGGTTCACAAGGGTATTGGACACGGAGAGAATATCATCATCGGCTTTGACCTGCCGCCGGGAAGCAAAGTATCGACAGGCGCGGCAATCTACATCATTTGCCGCTCCAAGGAAGTGTTTGGGCAGGATGCGGATGTGTTTCGACCTGAGCGGCGCTTGGAGGCCAAAGAAGCTGCCAGGCTTGAAATGGAAACATCCGAGAAGGACGGAATAGCAGCGTCAGGGCTGGGAGAGGCAGGAAGACACTCAGAGAGATGGAAACCACGCTGATTTTCGGGTCAGAGTGGATGGGAGGTGAGGGAGCGAGGGAATCCCCGGGTGTGTTTATGGAGGGAGAGGGCGTTTGGAATTTCTATTGAGGGTTGATGGTAAACTGGAAGAGCTCTTGCGATCGCTACAAAGGGAGCACCATGCGCATCATGGAATCGATTGTCGGACAGATGTCTTGCAACGTATGAACGACGGTCTTCCCTACTATCAGTGGACAGACTCCGTACTATACACACCCGCAAACAGAATGCCAGACTGGAACAAAGAGAAGAGACAGGTGTCACGGTCGACTAGCAGCTAAACTTCCACTCAACGCCCTCCCACCCCTTCCTCTTCTTCAAAACCACCTCTCCACCCTCCAATCCCGGCAACGGCTTCGCCGTCTCGCCCCTCTTGGAGTCGCCCATCTTCAACTTACTTCTATCCAATCCCTCAATTTCAAATCCAATTGCCAACGCCGCCATCAACGCCAAATTCTCGGTAAACGCAAAATGTCTTCCCGGACACATGTGCTTTCCACCGCCAAAGGGGACGAAGGCCGCCTTCCTCTGCCTCTCCACCTTCGGACCCAGCTCCTCCCACATGAACCGACGCGGGTTGAAACCCTCAGCATCAGCGCCCCAGACGGCGGTGTTCCGGTGGACTACCTTCGCAGGCATCATGACATTGGTGTCAGCCTTCAGCATGTAGGAATTTCCCGAGACGGGGTCGGTGAGCATCGTATCCTTGAGCACGCGTCGGGCGGTAACGATCTGCGAGGCAAGCCGGATAGATTCCCGGAAGCAGGAGGCGAGAAGGGGGCACTTGGCGTCGAGGCCGGTGGCGGGGATGGTGATTGTTCTTGTTCCCATGTCCTCACCCGAAAGAGCTTTTTGACTGTTGCCAAAGACGGCCAGCAAAGCTTCGGCGCGAATTTGTTGTAAGAGATCAGGGCGCGTCCAGATTTCGGCGATGCACCAGAAGAGAGTGGATAGAACGTTGGTAGTGGCGACAAGGGTGATGGCTACTTCATTCTTGGCTAGTTCGTCATCGGGAAGATCGTACTTTTTCAGCAGACGGGTACGAGCGCGGATGAAGTAGGAGGTGGACGGGTCAGTCTCGTAATGGCGCGCGCTGAAGTAGGAAAGAAGTGCGGATTGGACTTTGTTGCGGGCGAGATAGGCGCGGCGGGCGACGATGGATGGGAGGACCCCGAGGACCAAGGGGCCGAGGTGGGATTCGAAGTCCCTGTGATGTTTTGGTGATGGTTAGCTTTGGTTAAGAGAAGGTAGAGGGAAGGTAACGTACCACTGGGCGTCAATGACTTGGTGGTCTTTGAACGGGTTGTGCTTCTCTCCCCACAATGCCTTTGATGTGGATCTGCTAAGAAGTGACTGAAGCCAGAGAAACATGTTGGGAATCTTGGTGCCCTTCTTGGAATCCACATCGTTCAAGGTATCGGCCATGGTCCCAAGAGTGGTGCTGGCCAACTTCTGAAGGTTGTCTCCCGAGAGCGCGGACTTGAAGACCTGTTCCATGTCGCCCATGATGTTTGGGTGCACGCCATCCTTTCCGAGGAGCTTGTCGACCGTACCTTGTTTAACGCCAAAGATGCGCGGGACAAAGTCCACCATGAAAGACTGCGCGTCCATGTCCTTGGCCTTGAGAGCGGCCTGTTGTAGGGGCGCATCGAAGATAACGTAGAGTTTCTGGTTACCGATGGGGAGAGTTGCGATGGGCAAATGATGCCGCGTGAATAGCTCGCTGAAGTAGTTGACTTGGTGGTTCAGCAGACCAAAGAGATGGCCAATTACTGGAAACCTGGGCTTGATGAGGGGTGGTTCGGACGGATCATGAGGTGGTGAGATGGTGAGGAGCAAGTACGACAACAGTACGGCGACGCCGCCGACGAGGAACTGGACTGGTGAAGTTTTGCTTTGGACCCAGATCATGGGAATAAGGCCCTTGATGGTGGCAATACCGGTGTCGAGGGTGCTCTCGATCTCAGCTACCGCGTCTGCCATGGTGGAGGGCATTGTGACAGTTGTTGTGGTGGCAGCCAGGTGGTGCAGCTACAGGTCTGGGAACTCGAAGCCAGAAACAGCAGAGCATCAAGAAATCGGATGTGCACAGTTCGGATGGTTTTGTGTTGTTCAAGGCACCGGTTTGTGGACGTTTGATGGAAGACTCGGGTGGGCCTGTTGTTGGCATTGTTCTCTTGCCATTGTCGACACACGGGAATTTCGGTTTGTTTGTTTGCTCTCAACCATGGCGACGTATCAGACAAAGCTGCGGGACTAACCTAAGCTGCAAGGGCGCAACAGGTGGTAGATGATTGCGGACTAACATTTCTGGTGGCTACTAGTGCTTGATAGTCTCGAGATTGTTGACTGCTGACTGTAAGACTTGGCCGAGCATTGTTTTTATCTCCAACAGTCAGTCTGGGATGTTGCAGTGGTGGTTGATTTGGTGAAGGTTCGCACATGAATATTTCTGCAACGGCATGGTGCCTGCCGCTTTCCCCTCGCTGCCGAGTCAAAGTGGCTGCATGACGGGATGCCCTGGTGCGGGACAGAAACTGTCCGATTGAAACTGAACCCTCACGGATACAGCTGAGACAGTGACCGAGACTGCTCGAGTTCAGACTCTTTGAGCTTATCGAGATGTCTCAACAATAGAAGGAGTCAACGAAGGAAGTACTTGGATATCTACCTAGGTACTGTTAGGGTATGCGTCACGATCAACAGTGGAAAGAGCAGCCACCCAGGTGCATAACTCCCCTGGTGTAAGTGTTAAGGGATACATCAGCCTGACTGCAATTTACTAACAAGGGGTACATTCCCGAGATGTCGATGCATCCAGCTCGCATCTGCTCTGGATACAAGACACGTCACACACCGAAGCTGCGACCTACCTACCATCAGCAACGATGGAAAGCGCGTTCAGCAGCTTCATACTTCTGCCTGGGATGGAAGCTGTCGCAAACTGATACCTTTTCCCCAGCCAATTGTACTCTTCAACAGAGCCCCTCATACCACCTGTCCTCGGCTACCTCTACTTAGTTCTCTTCAATCGCCATGCATTCCCCTCCCCAAGGCAGACATCGTCACGAGGTAGTTGGGCACCAGCTTGGCCCGGACGAGGCGTGTCCATTGATTGTTGTTTACTGCGTATTCCCTACGCAGATCCAAAGCCACACGGTACGTATTCTAATGATAGCTTGCGAGACTGCTAGATAAGTTAAGTGCACATGCTAACCGGCGCCTTCTGTTGGGGCAAGGTCAGATTTCCATGGAATTCGGGGGCAACGAGGCATCTTGACCGAGACCAACGTGGAAAAATGGAAAGGCAAGGCACGAATGCGCCGAGCGGTAGCACAACGGGGAAACAACACCCAACCCTCTTCCTTAGCGAGGCCAAACCAACACCGGCCATCCAATCGTTCAGTTGCATCTTCGTTCTACATCAAGTACACTAGAGCTGCAGCTCAGCTTTCGCAAGGAACATCACAGACATATTAACGTCACAGCCCGAAGCAGATGGTATATAAGCATCGCGAGTTCCTACATGTAGTGCTTTTAACGTTGCCCGACGTCAACTGCCACTGTCACTCTCCCTGAACCTCCGAAGAAACACAGCGTAACATGCCACTGTAGCATCCGGGAACAAGCAGCCAACAACCCCGCTGCAACCACAAAGAACCCCCCAACCTGGCCACATCCAACATTCATCTCACTGTCTCTGAAGCAGATGGATCAACATCAACAACCAACTCCTCCTCGTTACGATCAATACGTCGATCCCCTTCCTCCCACCGACGCTTGGGCTTGTTTTTTGTCCGCGAGATATTCACAGAGAAAAACCTTGTACCAAAGTTTGACGGCAACAGAGAAGGAGCTGGTCCGGAAAGAACTCCGTCGTGTTCGCTACCTGAGGGAATATTTCGAGACCCTACGCCTGTCCCCCAAGCCCAACAGCGCTCCCTTGGTTGTCTTGCTCGATGATTCTCGAAGGCGTTGGAAGCAACAGGCAATACAAAATTCCAAGGCGGCACTAGCAAAGTGCGACAAGGAATTGGCACAGCCAAATTGCTATCACAAGCCTCTTCTCCAGCGAAACCGTTCTCTGTTGCTTCAGGTTCAGCAATGGTCAACGCAGCCGGCCGAGGACCAGCAAAGGGAAGAAGAGCTGGACCCGGAAAATTACATCGATGGACTGGGCGCACCCGACGATAGCATCGACGACAATCCGCGCGATCCCAACTATGGCTACAATGGTTGGGTGATTGTGTACGAAAAGGGAAAAGGCGGAGTGACCCTCGACCACCCTCTCTGTCATGGCCAGTACCCCCATCAAAAGATCTCGGTTCAGAAGCTGCTTTATGACATAGGCAATACACCACTCAAGCGCTCGGAGGACAAGAACCAGTTACGCTACTTTCATCTCCAGGCGAACAACATGAAGTGGGTGGAAGATGCCATTGCAAGATACTACGGTGAAGCCTCAGGATTAGACCGTCAACGCAGCACAATCATACGTGAAAGGGGGATGTCCAAGCCCACAAATCGTTTGTCAAACACCGAGAAGTTATTAAAGCGCGAACTTTGGCATGGACAGGAACGCGGCGGTATCGGTACACATCTTCCACCCCATGCCCGCCAGATACGACCTCGCTGCGCTGTTGTCCCATCCGCGCCATACGCCCCACGAACACAGCCAACGTTGGGGTCGCCAATGAGTGCTACCACAAACACAAACGACGTGGTGCTCTTTATGCCATACCTACACTGGGAAATCGAGAAACGACTCACAAGAATGACGAATGTCATACGCAAGACACGTCAGCAGAAGGAAGAAACTTATTACATGGAGCGTCAAAACAAGCGTCGCGGAACCTGGGGTAGTGTCGTTGATAAGGTCATGACGGCACGTGTCCTTAGACAGGACAGCATACCTGACGACACATTTATCAGCGACAAATCCATGGATGATGCTCCTTCCTGGCGTCCCAGTAGCCGACTAGGGACTTATTTATGGCATGCAGCGAAGCTCTTTCAACTGATCGACGAGGCCGCCGACTGGCGACTGATCAATGACCATCTTTATGGCGAGTCCTCCCTGCATCCGAGACGCACGCTCGAACAATACAGCAGCTGGACTGCAGATGATACAACCAAGAGAGACCGACAACAGGTGGTTTATCGTGGGACCTGGATGAAGAACGATTTGGAGTCTATTCCCAGGGTAGTGATGGTTGACCAACTGTGGATGTGGATCCTGGATGAGAGTAAGTTTCGCTACGCATGATATGTGTTTCCAAGCTAACCTCATGGGCGACAGATACCATCATCACCGCATTTCCTCGGAGATGGGGCCGTAACAAACCTGATCCCTCTGCAGTCCATCGAGCAATCCGGGACTACATGGCATCTGTCGATAAAGGCCAGATCAATTCGATCTACGATCTTGCTCTCATCATCGTTGATGAATGTTCCAAAGTCATCTTCGACAGGACCAAGCCTGATCTTCGGCCAGAGGTAGTGGACATATTCGGTTCCGCCATATCCAAAATTGTTCGTCTAATGTACCCCTTGTTACGTACGATGGCATTGCTAACACTCGGGACCCTAGGCGGAAAAGAAGACGGAGTCATACGAGCGGTTCGGCCGTGACGTCAAGAGGATGAACACTCAGGATCCGCTCGAAACCTCCGAAGAACTGCTTCGCAAGTCCCTCAACATCAAGTACGAATGGTCCGTCCTAATGGAAGCCCAGAGTGTCATCGACCAGCTACAAATTATGCAAGAGATATTTACACAGCAGATTACCATCATGACGGACTTTGAAAAGGTATTACGTGGATTGGGTTCTGGGGTTCCGTCTTCTCAGTTGGACGGACTGACCTCTACTCTTGAGCGTGCCAGCTCTCTGCTAACTGACATGAAATCGAATCGTGATGAACTCGCTGACCTTGAGAAGAGGCAAGCTAAAACACGGACCCAGATCCGGGAATTGCTTGACATGAAACAACAGCAGTCGGGAATCATCGAAGCCAAAGCGGGTATTCGACGAGCAGACGAGAGCGTCCTTCAAGGGAGGTCAATAGTAGTCTTCACTGTTGTGACCATCTTCTTTCTACCATTATCATTCTTCGCCACCATGTTCGGTATGAACGCACGGGAACTAAACGATGGACATATGGGAATCGGCACCCAGCTGTTGCTAATGCGTGAGTGAGTCCCATTAGTTCTGAATTTTGGATGATTAGGCTGACCAGTCCAAAGTCTTTCCCTCACTTGGCATTACAGTTCTATCACTCGCGCTTGCTTTCAGTACTCGGGCTCGAAGCCTCATCTTCGGCGGCTGGCGGTCGTTTGTGGGTGGACTGCGGAAGCCAGTGGCATCTACGCATCAGTTGAAGGAAGCGTCGGCCCATACGTTACGGGACTTTATGCTGGAGAAACTCAGGGAACGGGATGTGCAATATGGTGAGAGTCTGCAGGAGCTACCAATCCACGAACATCGGGAAGCACCAACCGAAAAGAGGCCGGGAGCTTGGGCATCTGGGAAGTTTAGCAGTGGTAGCTTGTCACATCTGTGGACTCGGAGGCGATCGCAGTAATTATTTGGTTCAATGGTATCAATATGAGTAGTCATAATATGCATGCATTAACTCAAGAAGTGTTTCCGTTTGGGGCATTGCTGCCGTCGCCGTCTATCCCCATTCGCATCACTTAGGGTATCCAGCCGTCCAACATTGACACCAAAATCACCATGATTCCCCCCAACAAAGCAGGCAAACGCAGTCACGCCCATAAACTCCAAAAAAACCAACCACCAACCTCCTTCATCACCCAACAATGCCGCTCACAATCTCCAACAAGCGCCCAGAAACCTCTTCATGGGCCGTGATCACTCCCCAATTCCCATCCAGCTTCCTTCCCCGTCCATAATCAATCGGCCTCCCCCACAGATCCGTCACCTTCCCTTTACCCGCCGTCGCCTCGACGTAAATCAGCTGTGCGCCCGCGTGGTCCCAGATATAGGTGGCCTTGGTTCTCGGCTTGGGGATGCGCACCTGCACGTGCGATGGCCCGCCAAGGATCATGGCTACGTATCGCATGTGTGACGAGTACAGCTCGGTGCCGGGGAAGGAGTAATTGGGTACGCCGGCTAAGGTGGCGACGCGGGCGACGAGGGAGGAAGAGGTTGCGGGGGTGGAGAGGGAGTCGATGAAGTGGAGGTTGGACATGTCTGGTGGGGTGGTTTGGGGATTTTTAGTGAAGGAGGAGGACTTGGTGAGGGGAATTGCGGGGAGAAGGTCCGTTGGGGAAGTCTGGTCGGCGATGGGCCGGATAGTAGCGCCTTGGGAGCGCACGGCACTGAGGAGGATGCCGTTTGTTGTTTGTTGTTGATCCTGATCTTGAGTGTCAGGGGATGGGGATGGGGTGCTGTCCTCGGAGATTATGTACGTGGCTGTGCAAGTGTTGGTTTGCGGGGAAGCGGAAGAGGAAGAGGGGAGAGTAATGCCGAGGTTGGGGCAGCCCAAGACGCCAACCACCTCCCGTCCACCCTCAATCAAACACAGGCTCACAGCATACTGCTGCCCGCGCATGAACGCCGCCGTGCCGTCGATGGGATCCATAGCCCAGAAGCGGGCGGTGGGTGAGCCGGTGCCGCGTCCGCCTAGGTCGATGAGGGATAGCATCTCGGGAATGGTTTGCGGGAGGGCTGGTGAGAAGGCTTCATCACCTAACTCGGTGGAGGCGCAAGAACGAACCAAATCAAATACCTGTCTGGCCAGCACCGGATCCCCGCGCAAAGCATCCGCGTCCTCTTCGCCGATGAACCCGTCGTGCGGAAAGTGCGCGCGGATGGCGGCGGTGAGGAGCGCTTGCACGGCGAAGTCGGCGGCGGTCACGGGGGAGAAGTCGGGCTTGGAGATGGAAGCGACGCTGACGCGGCAGGCGGGGTGGTCGTCATGATGAAGCTGTGGTGTCGAGGTACCGGAAGTGGAGGTGGAAGATGTAGAAGTGGAAGAAGGGTTGAGGATGCCGGCGAGGACGCGGCGCGTGAGGAGGGAGGCGCGTTGCACGGCTAGCTCGGCAATATGACGCTCGTGCTGGTATGGTGGTTTGGAAGGGTTGGGGGTGGTGACTGTCATCTTGAACTTCTTAGGTTTTGGTTGTGACGAGGATGTGTTTGTAAGGTTGAGGTTGAGATGTCGGTGAGTGGAGCCGCACTGGAGAGGGAGGGGACAGTAACGAAGTTGACGTTGAAATAAGGTGTGTCTATGTGGAGTGCCGACGCCTTGGTGGTGGTGATCGTCGGCGGCAGGTGGAGGCCTGGTAGCTAGCCCCCCTTGTCGAGGTGGTGTATTACAATTCCGTGTATTAAGGTGTATATCAAGGTATGGCGGTGTAATAATAGGGTGGCGGTGGTTGCGATTGCTTTTGAGACGGTGTTGTGCTCTCGGATAGGTGTGTTAGCGCGGTTGATACTGGTTATCAAGTACCAAGATATGAAACTCTTTTCTTTTGAAGATCTTGGCAACGGGAAGGTTTAAGAGTGAAATCATGGAGAGACTTGACAAACCCGAGGACTCCCATGCCAAAGCAAGCGCTTCGCCCCTTGTGGATGAAGCACCACGCCATGGTCGCCATCGCCAGGATGGATGGGTGGATGGATGGATGGAGGGATGGATGGGTCACGGCCGTTCCATGTGGATTGGTGTGTTGTCCATGAACATGGATCTTGTGAGGAAGTTGTTTGATGAGAATATGCAAAAGTGACCTGGGATGGTGGTCACGGCGAGGCAAATCTCTCAAGGCACTTTTGAGACTTTGTGAGAGGCCTGTGGGGCTGTGACAGCTGTTAGCGATAGTGCCGCGCCAAATTCGATGTCTCAATTGCAGCCACACCTGATAAGAAGGATGGCTGAGCAGGCAATGCGCGAAGGTGGTCGTCAGGTGCCATTGTGTGGTGGGGTCGGGTCGGGTGTTCCTGGCTGCACTGCGATGTCCGGATGACGCCGACGTGCCGGGCTTCCAGGGGTGTGGGTGCGACCCTAGGGCATCTGATAGCGCTATATGGCGTCTGTTTCACTGGTCAGCGGCAACGTGCAAACGAGAGGGGACCTAGGTAGGTGGCATTCGATCCTTCGAAAGATGGGGTTCTTTTCGACTCGACACCCACCTCGTTCCTTTTGTGCTTCATCATGATTAGGTCTTTATGCCCTGGTATCGTATCCGAGCCATACGAGTTGGCGTTTGGCCGCTGGTGCCGGGATTTGTCCCAGTCTACCTATACCGGAAACGCGTCGACAGGACAAGTTTGAGTGAACGAGAGCGCAATTGCACAAATTACCGAAACTGGCGAGTCTTGCAATCATATTGGATGATTATGACCAGAAGTCAACTCGTACGCCGAAGAATCCGGATCACCTTGGACCCGACTCCTCGATTGGACCACATACGAGAAAGTGCCCGTTCCGAGCCGTGTCGTCACATCCAACCCTAACCGTCATGAATGTAATCCGGCAATTATCACTTACCATACACAACGCTCTACAGGTACTCAACAGTCATCCAGTAACTGGTTGGTCATGAGCAATGCTGGCTTGATTCAAAACAGGGTACAGATCATTTATTCATCATACAATCGTTAACGCATCAGACTCCGTCACCTTCCTCAACCTTCAACACCCAGCCTGTGACCCAACTTCCGGTCAAAGATTAGCAATTACATTAGAACAATGCAGCAACAGCCATGCTCAGAGCACCAAGGCCGAGAGTCTTTAAATCAAGTCCGACACGACCAGCAGCGCCAGTGGCGGGCGGGTTCTCGCCGTCCCCGGAGCCGACAAGCTGTTCATATTGTGTCAGCAAGTCCTCAATTATTACGGTTGTAGGAAAAAAGAAAAGAAGGATGAACTCACCGAAGCAACAGTATGCACAACACCATTCTCAACAATGACATCAGAAGCAGTGACCTTTGCACCATTGAAGTAGACACCGCTATCCCTGACAGCAACAGTAATGGTGTCGTTGGCCAGGGTGTTAAGGACCTGTCCATCCTTCAACAACGGGGAGTAACCGACATAGTTGACAATGACGTGCTGGCTGAGGATGCCGACAATCTGCTCGTCGGTGAGGGCCGATATATTGACGGCGGCGAAAGCGCTGTCCTCGGGTGCGAGGACGGTGATGCCGGCGGTCTCGCTGACGGGCCCGGTGAGGTTGGATTGAGTCAGGAGGGCGGTAAGGTTGGAGAGGTTGGGGAAGAGGGAGAGGGTGCTGGGGATGGCGCCAGGGATCTCGAGGAGGCTGTTGTTGGCGGAGTCGTTAGTGGCGAGTTTGGTGTTAAGAGAAGAGGAGGGGATTCCTTACGAAGCCACGGGCCTAATGACACCTGCGTCAAAAGGGATATCATCACCCACAACCGGCACAGCCTTACCCGCACCGGCGAAAACGGTGGGCACACCCGCGTCTCCGACCGGCTTCTCAACGAGAGACTGGTTGACGCCCGGGCCGAGGTTGACAATATCCGGGTCACTCAGCAGAGACTGGAAGACAGCTGCAGGAGAATTAGCCTGCTGGCGCTTGAAGCGTAACTTCTTCGAACTGGAAGCCGTGTTCTGCACCGAACTCATGGCGGCACGCTGAGACTGGCTGGTGGTCCTACGACGGCCGAGGGTAGAGTTGACGGCGGACTGAGTGTTGTTGGTGGCATAGATGATGAAGTTGCTGCCGACGTCGATGCTGGAGAGAATACTGGGGTCCGCATCTTGGTAGATGCTGGCGAAGTCGCTGAAACCATTCTGCTGGAGGGTGTTGATCAGGGTGTCGGCGGAAGCAAGGGTTGCCGCCGACAGGGCAAGGAGAACGTGGAAAAGAATCATGATGATGGCGAAGTGCCGGAGATGCTAACTGAGGGAAAGGTGATTCGAGACCTTTACCTAGTTGGTGAGTGAAGACTGGTGTAGAAGAAGCAGTGTTGCAGTGAGACACAAAGTGAAGCCATCGACGCCGGCGGGTATGCGACTTCTTATATATGGACTGCCTCAGCCGCTCCTTCTCTTCAACTTCCACCTCAATTTTGGTAACTTGTATCGATTGCGGCCCTTGTTGATCGAGCTGCTGGCGGACATACGTTCGGAAAACTCCCCACCAAGCCACCGACACCATTGCTCCATGGCAGTGCCACCTTGGCAGCTGCTGAATGAAGTGCCCAAGAAGCAGAATGCCAATTCTCGAAACCTGAAACTGGCATAATTCGCGTCCAATGGAGGAGTGGCCATTTACCGAAAACCGATCGTGGAGACTTTTACTTACACCCAAAAGCCCCGGACAACTGAACTGCCCCACATATGCAACCTTTATGCAATATTGACAGCTTTTCGGCTCCTCGGTCTCATGCTTCTGGTTGAAATAGTTGAGGCCGGCATGCTGATAAGTGCTTGATCACCAACATGATACGGCTGGTAATAATATGGAATCCAGGTATCCCGTCCTATCAGTCCAAGTTCTGCATTTCGCAGTTCTCGGTTCTCCTCATCTTGCATCGTTGGGTATCTACTACCTATCCATCCCTATGCGGAGCTGAGGCTCTCTTGACCTATCAGATGGAGCCAACACAAGTCATGCCGCAATAACTTTTTCATGATCCTCTTTCCTGCAATGTTTATGGATCTTGACATCACCAGGCTGCGAACTGATCACAGATAATTTGACGATAATCTTGTGATGTGTGGTGAGCAGGAAAATGAATGGGCCTGGTGGTATCGATGCAGGGTCAAAGAGTTGACCCAAAACGACGAAGTCCTGGTATCTATCGGCTCTGGCACTGGCCCCATCCGGGCGTGTAAGTGGTGATGATATATGGTCGGCAAGTCCCCATTCGATGGACCCTATTCGTTTCTCGAACAACGACTAGCGAATCAAGGGGATTACCGGGGACCTGGAAGGGTTTCACCATCGCCGAGGTCACCGACCAGCCTTACAAAACCTAGCAAGTCCCGGCTGCAGCTTGCATGCAGGCCCTTCTCCGCACTTCGTCAAAGCACCAAAAGACTTTCTGGAGCAAGAGAACGAACCGCCCCAGCCGCTCCATTGCATGCTGCATAATTCGAATTTCCCACAAGGCTCCGGAAATCAGAAGGCTCGGCGTGCTTCGCTTATGTAGGTTGTGATAGAGGCTCAGCTGAAGATGCTAACGGATCGAACCAGATCAGCCGGACGGGCTCCTTTATGCATCACAAACCGCATTCTGTCGAAGATATAGCTTGGCGCTGGCAGCCTTCTCATCCGTTTTCACCACCTTTTCTTCCAATCAAACCAACCACTGACCTTGCTTGAGGAGGATTGGGCTTCGACGTGTCCAAAGCATCACTTGGCGCTGACAGAGTCTTGCTGCTGATCCATTGCCGTTTCCTGTCGTCCACAGGCTGTCATGTAAGTGATGAGAAAGGGAAATAGCCTGCAAGCCGCATTTTCACGCACTTGCTGCATGAAGGGTCTTGTGCATCCAGCCCGGGCCGTCACTGACAGTCGGCGTGAATCTTACGTGGCTCCAGATGGGCTCGTATGCACGAAAGTTTGATCCGGCCAACGACATTTCCTATATGAGCTACTGAAGGCTCTCAAGCAGACCAGGCTTTTGAGATCGCCTTCGAGGTGGGAAGGTTGAAGAGATGGTAGTGGCTAGTTGGTAGTCTCAGCGATGCACGAGCATGATATCGAAGCCCCACAAAGGCTTTGATGATCGTCGTGCTGCATTGTTAAACCGTGCCGTGGAGAGAGTTGGGGAGTAGGGTCGAGATTGTTAACCGAGCTCAACTTGGACGGGCAAGTGTCAGCACCTGCACAAATCTGTACTCTCCGCATGTCAATCATGGCGCCTGGTTTGTAAGTCTCTGCGTCCCGTTGACAGATGTTATTGATATCTGCTGTCACAACTCGGCAACAGAAAAAACCTACAGGTGCTTGTTGAAGCAATAGAGTGAGTCCTTGCAATTCACTCGCGGGTGTACGACACACCATAATCATGCAAATGAAGACCAGGACTCGCAGGCCTCAAGGCTTCTGGGAGACTTTGGTCGTAGTGCGGCTGAATCATGTCCTTGACATTTGCCAAGTGTCACGGCCTATCATGGCCTGACAACATGCAGAGAGAGGGAGTTGAGAGGGTGGGGGAGTGGTAGGAGTGGTGGGAGTGGAGGAGGTGGAGAGAGGACGGAAATTCCGAATGGGCTGTCGCCGGGCAGCAGCAACCTTTCTTCCAGCCTGATGCCAGGACTTCATTGAACCCAAAACACCTTCCAGCCAACCACTTGTCAAGCCTCGAGAAAACCCCGCCCTAATTGTCAGGTCTGGATGAGGAAGTCTTTGCTGAAAATCTAGAATTGTGAAGGCGGAGTTGAAGTTGTCTGGATGTGGGAACATGAAAGTGGAGAAGACAGGTTCAGGATGAAGAGCGAGACGCCGAATGGAGTCCAGAGAACTCATGGACGAAGAGATGTCGAATGAGACTGGAGGATGAAGAAACTTCAAGGCATGAGGTTTGGCCTGTGTCCCCTCAATGTGACTTCGGTGAAGCACGATGCCGGCCCTTGCCACCTTCATGTTATGGCTTAGTCAGTTTACCTCGAATGCCACATCTTGGTCAACCAGTGCCTTGTCAACTTACATTTTCCAAATTTGAATACTCCGGTTAGGCACATCACCTTCTGAGTTGAAAAGACCTTCGCAGCTCGAAGCTGAGCATATCGGAGCTCTCAGGCTATCATCTGCGATATTCTGCCTGTGGTATCCATTCAATATCGGAACGACCTGTGCACTTCTTTGTAAGTTCAGTTGCTTCTCTCCAGTTATGACAACCGATGGTTTCCAATGTCGGCAAAAGCACCTGATTTTGGGGATACATGGGGATCCAAATGGACCTTTGCTGACTCGGTCAACCCCGAAGAGCACAGCCAGACAGGTTCTAGGGGTGACCTACCTCATCTTTGACCAAGATGTCTGACATTTACACCCCACCTCCACGAACAGCCTACTACCTCGCACAGGCATTCTATATGCCTAGCGACAAAGGAGACCGTTGGGCTATATCATTTTCCGGGAGAAGCTCAGTGCTTGTAGCGTCTGCGCTCTCCGTTGTCGTCACTCTGAGTTTCGCAGCCCTTTGGAAAATAATATGTTTCGTCTCCCTGATGTTCCAGGGCAACGAGTCCAGGAGGAGATTTGTTGGCATGATCATGCTTTGGAACTCGGGCGATGCGATCGCTGCATTCCTTCGACTGGTGACGTATACCGTTCGATGTTATCCACGGACAATCACGAGGCCCAAGACGGAAGAGTCAGCGACTCCCCATAGGGCTACTAAAGAGCTCAAGACGGGAGAGTCAGAGACTCCCAGCGGGGATCTTCCAAACACTAATCAGGAAGGAAAGCGCCCCAAGCAAAGAGGTGACTTCCTGTACGGCTTATCCCTTTGCCTCGTTTGCTTTGCCGTCTGGGGAGGGAGTGTGGCCATGTCGACGGTCGTCTCCTGGCTCGTTTCAATTGGACACGTCGCACCCGTTAACCCAAGCGTCTTGTTTTACCCCGACATCCCTGGTGAAGTTGCTGTTCAGCAGTTGAAGGATTTCGGTCTCCGTGCCCCAGGCATCTTGCGCTCTTTGGGAAGCGTCGAAGCAGCCAAGGTGACGCTACGCACTCGCGTGAGCATTGAGGGCGGAGATGCCGGCCTCATTCCAAACGGAACTGATCTTGGCCATGAGCTCAACTACGATTATAACCTCACCGGAGTCGAGTTAGGTCTCCGGGGTGGCGACGGCCTCTCACTAGGGGTGAAGGGCTTCTGCAGAACTGAGTACGACTGGTACCGTCCTGACATGAGTACCAATGCCAGCGACGTCTACCACCTGTGGAACAACGAGAATCAATCACGGTCCATCCGGTTGTCTGAGGATGCTATTACTCGCGCACCTACCGCCGCCTTTCTGCTCCCCAACGAGTACTTTACAGCGGCCGTGGGGCCACCAGCGGATTCCAACTACTCCTTCGCTATAATAGTGAGTTCCGCGCGGCGGACCAGCGTGACGGAAGGCAGTGATCCTTGGTATACGACAGAGCTGCGTGACCAGCCCGCTGACTTAAGTCACTACAATGCCAAATTTTGGATGAAGCGCGCCAGACCTATCCTCTCTTGCTGGGAGCAGATGAAGTGGTTACACAAGGGAACCGCTCTCGACTCGATTGCCGACCTCAGATACCAGACAGATCGAACCATTCCGGACGTCCTCGTCGCAGTCCTCGAGGCAACATTCTTCGGTGGCCCGATGCTTGTCAGATTAGGAAACGCAAGCGGTGACTCGGCACTCAGGTCTCGAACTACCAGTCCCAACGGGGTGATTGATGCATCCATGTCATCCATTGACACCGACATGGAGCGGTTAGTCCTCGCGAGCTTCGTAGCGACTCGGAACATCTTCAATGACGCAACCATGTTCGGTGGCTCCGAACAAAATTACCCCAATGTCTTCCGGGGCGGCAACGGACAACCCGAGGAAGGATCCGGGCACTTTGTGGTATCCAGCCCGGACATCCAGACCTTTTCGCTCACCGGGATCATCTGTCTGGTGAGCATCCTGGTCTTTCTCACGGCGATTTGGCTCTTGCTCGAGTTGCTGCTTCTTGTACTGAAGGGCCGTCATCATCCCTTTTGGTGCAGATATCATGTGCTTGATGCGGTGCAGTTGTTTCGATGCCTGTACGAGAAAAACGACCCTGATCGTAAATTCACCAAAACCGACCGTCCGACTAGCGAAGACCTGCCGAAGATTCGGCCCTATGGCGGCTGGCGGTGCAATGAAGGGGTACCACAACAGCAAATTTTCCGCGAAGCTAATGGCAAAGACACCATTTTCAACATTGAAGATGATTTTTGCCTGTTGACGCCCTGCAAGGAGAAGTCCTGCATGGGGCATATTCTTAAAGATCTAGCCAGGGAGGTCAATCGGAACAGCGTGATTGAACCCAAGGAACCTGTGAGATCTGATCGGACCACTCCGGACCCTGATACGGCCATGCCTCAGGGTGACTATGAGAAACGACCCGCGCACGACACCATCAACCCCAGTAATTTGTCCAATGGCCACAGTTAGAGGTAACACCTATTGCGCCTCTCTATGCTTGGAGAAGTGGCTGGCAAAAACGGCACAAGGTAACCTTTGAACAGGCGGTTACTTTTAACCTCTATTTTCTCACTTTCCTTGCCCTCTTTTCTCACTCCTTGAAGGCGTTGGATCCTATTTGATGGAGTGTTGTGTAATGAAAAGAGGAAGAATTCATTTCGTTTACCGGCAGACCAACGATCATGGTTTCGCAGTAATGTCTGTAGCAGAGCATCGAAATTCCATTTGTGAAATTTTGCCCTACAACTGATCGATCAACGGTGTCGGCCCCCCAGGGACAATCAAAGGTCCTTGCCCGCCAAAAACCTTCTTGTGCCTTGCAGCGGCGTATGACGGCCCATACACATCCAGGTACGGTGCAGATGTCGAGTGGAACGCGGCATTGGTCTCGCGGCTGTCTTGATCCCAATGCAAGCGGCGGAGCCAGGAGTAAATGCTCGGATAATCATGTCGGATGGATTTGAGGCTGCATAGAAACACTGGGCGGTACGCGACGTCGAACCGAATGATTGTGGTATACAAACGGACGTCAGTTTCTGTGAGGTTGTCCCCAAGAAGGTATTTCCTTGACTTTGTTTCAGGCGAGCCACCATCGCTGGGTGCAGGGGAGGAGAGGAGTTGCTCAACACGATCGAGTCCCTCAAAAAGTGGGTACAGATTCGCGTCGTACGCCTGCTGGGTGGTAGCGAAGCCTGTCTTGTACACTCCGTTGTTGATCAAGTTGTAGACCCAGCTATTCACCTCATCAATAGAAGATTGCAGATGCTTCGGGTACAGTCCGCCACCTGGCCTGTTCACTTCACGTAAGTGTTCCGGCAGGAGGTGGTCAAAGGCGGTAGTAAGCATGCGGATAATCTCGGAACTTTCGTTGTTGACAACGGTATGGGTCCTCTTGTCCCAGAGCATGGGAACTGTGAAAGGACCGGTGAAGGAGGGGTCGGCCTTCTTGTAGAGATCGGGGAGGTACTTGAAGCCGTACAAGGGGTCTGCAGGGAGGGAAGAACCTTCACCGCTGAAGTACCAGCCCTTGGGACCCATGGATGGGTGGAGTTCGTACAGGTCGATAATGTTCTCGAGTCCTTTGAGAATCCGGACAATGGAGGTTCTATGTGCCTGTTACCAAATGTGTAAGTTGACGGCCCACAAGAATAATGATCAAGTGAAAGAGGGACAAAGTTTACCCAAGGACATGTGGGCGAGATGTACAGAGCATACCGTCCCTTTTCTGCTGGAAATTGAGCATTGGGTTCAGGGGAGATAAAATGGCGGAACGCGCTTTCGGTGCGAATGAAAGCTCCGGATCCCTGGTTATCCTGCCGTCCTGAGGTTAGCTGCGAGAGCTTGGAAGGAGAGGTATAGGTCATAAGCAACCTTGGAAGCCATTGTCAGTATGGAGATAATTAGTTAGATGATGGTTTGCAATGCTCGAAGTTCGAAACGCAATCCTCGAAAGTCAAAGTCAAAAGACCAGGTCGATCAAAAAAGAAGACGTGCTGAGCAACAACTGGATGATGAATTCGGGGAAACGACTCGAGCGTCACGATAGTCAATGAAGTGGTGGTGATATAGCGATCAGTTCAGCACCACAGATAAGTCGAGAAGCGTTGGAAGGGCACAGTTGGAGGCAATGGTTCAATTTGTAGGAAGAGCCGAGCCTGGAAAGAAGTGGACGACGCGACTCGGATGGGAGAATTTGTTGTAAAATTATCTTGTCTCTTCTTCAATGACCTGTTTCAGAGGTACTGCACCTCTCCTGTGGGCAGTCGTACGCACCTTCCCATCGACTGTTGATGACAAATTCGGCGTGGACAGCCACAGATGTCGACGTGAAAAGTTGGAATTGTGTGATTAGGTGTTTACTGTGCAGTGTAGATGTTGGATGATTCAGCGGTAATTGTTAGTGCACACCCCCCTGAGCAGTGAGGTTCAAAGTGGGTCCCACCCCCAATCCATCAAGGTTCCCTGAGCGTGGAGTCGTCCCGGTCGAGACCCATTCACGCCTGCAACGGACCCGCAGGACCCCGCAACGCGCTAAGCTCTGGACTTTTCTCGCCGATTTTTTTTTTTTTCTCGGCGGCAATTGAAATTCCTCTTCGGGAATCGCAATTCCACTTTTGCAATCTTGAACCCAGCAACGAACAGGATTGCGAACCAGGCAATTCAAGATGCACCACTCAGTAATCAAGCCCAACAGCTGGGTAGCCCTCAAGCTGCCCTCCGGTGTTACCAGAGTTATCCAGGTCACTCCTAATACGTACGTCAACCAAGGACAACGGCGGCTTCAAAGTAAACAAGACATGGTGAGATGCTGATATGCCTTCATCACACCACCAGATCAATCTCCCTTGGAAAATACGGCACCTTCCCCGCCAACCTAATCCTCGAACGCCCATACTACCTTACCTTTGAGGTCCAAGACAAGCTACCCGAAGAAAGCTTTTCCCGCCTCCGAGTCGTCCCCCCTTCCGAACTTTACGCCGATGTCTTCGCCGAAGAGGACGCCGAATGCGCCAACCCCGCTGCCGGTCCTGGTTCGAACAATGACGCCGTCATTGCCACCGCCGCTGGCGAAGAATTCAGCTTAGTCGATGCTGAGAGCGGCAACGTCATTGCGCGGTCTACCCAAGAAGTTATCGACGAGAACGCCCGCCAGAAGCTGACACAAGCGGAAATCGAGGAGTTGAAGCGCGACGGGACCAACGCCGGCAAGGACGTCATCGCCAAACTTCTCTTGTCGCATGCTGCTCTCGACCAGAAGACGAGTTTCAGTTTGTCCAAGTACAAGCTGTTGAAGACGAAGAAGTATATCAGGAGGTTTCAGGTCCTGCCCATCGACGTTCCTACCTTTTCCAACTGGCAGCTGGAGGAGAGAGATGCTAGCAAGATCTTGGACATTCGGGCCGAGATGATGGGCTTGGTCGGTTGCTGGGGTAACGTTCACTATGGCGGTGCGGATGTCTTCCTGGAGGATCCCAAGGCGACAACAGAACAAGGCGAGGAGGCTCTTGCACCCTTGCAGGAGGACTTGCTGGCTGGAAGGTGGCTAGTTGTCGATGATACCGGTGGTCTATTAGTCGCAGCCATGGCCGAGCGCATGGGAGTTCTCTACAAAGAAGATGACGAGACCGAGGAAGCGGCGGAAGAGGAGGAAACCACAGAAAAGGCAGAGGATGAGACGGAACAAAAACAGGAATCTGACACGACTAGCCAAAAAGACGCGGAAATGGTCGACGAACAACAGCAAGAAACTACATCAGAGACAACAACCCTCGCCCGACACCCCAAGCGCCCGCGCGACAACAAGCCGCGCGACTCCGACTTCGCCGTTCCCTTTTCCCAAACCAACACCATCACCGTCCTTCACGGCGCCAGCCAACCGAACCTTTCATTCCTCAACTACTGGAACTTCGATGTCACCGCCCCACAACACCCGCCGCACCCGCTACTGAACCACCTTCTCACGCTCAGCTGGCTGCAGCTCCTCAAGCCCGAACTCGACACCTCGTACTCGACCCCTCCCCTCACTGCCGATCCCGAGACCTTGAGCACCTGGAAGCCCAGCCGCCGCGGCAACTTCCACCGCAAGCGCAGACGCTACGCCCGCGTTCGCCACATTGTCGACAGCACGCGCGCCGGCAACTTCTCCGGCCTCGTCTGCGCCAGCACCATGGACCCGATCTCGATCCTCAAGCACGCCCTTCCCCTCTTGGCTGGCGGCGCCCCTGTGGCCATCTACTCCCCCTCTCTCGAGCCTCTCGCGACACTAGCCGATTGCTTCAGCGTTGCCAGGAGGACGGCGTGGAACAGCGGACACGTGGCGGAGATCCAGGGCAAGACGGCCGAGGAGCTGGAAAAGTGGGAGGGAAGCGAGCAGTTCCCGCTCAACCCTACGCTATTACTGGGCACAAGCATCCAGACTAGCAGGGCGAGGAGGTGGCAGGTGTTGCCGGGCAGGACGCATCCGTTGATGACGGAGCGCGGTGGTGCGGATGGATATATCTTTACGGGATGGAGGGCGAAACCGGCGGAGGGCAAGATCGCGGCCAAGGGCAAATTCAAGAGGAGGAGGGTGGAGGAGAGCGTTTCGACGCCGGCTTCGGCATGAGTGGATTGGTCGGAAAGAGCTATTTGTGGGAGTTCAAGGATGCCACTTCTCTCCCCCTGCATCGGAAGATCTTTCAAGGAGGATTTTACAGCTGCAATGAGGCAGAGGGAAAGTCAGAAAGGGAAAGACAGATAGAGGCCGGCTTGCAGTAGGTGGACTCGACCAGCCGAGGAGGAGTGGAGGCAACCATGGGTCCAAAGGATTATGCTTTGTCCATCAGAGGCGGGCAAACAATGAGCAAGGGTCTGATAGTAGCAGTCAGGAGAACCAGCAAGACAGATGTGCATAGATCTCGTTTGCGCTTAGATACCATTTGCACGAAATAGAGCTGCAGTAATTCTACTAATCGAACGTTAACTGGAGATACAACCCATGTCGCTCATGATCGGGTTTTAATGTATGTGCAATCGGTCTATGCTTGTTTGAACCCGACCAGCCAAGAACAACAACAACAACAACTGAAAGCCTTGCTCGCTCGCTTCAACATACCCTCACACTCTAGGAAACTTGTGATATTATTTGTGTAGAGTACGTATTATACTTTGGCGCTAAACGACTCCATGCAACGCCATCTGAACCGGGAAGGCATCGCATCAGAGTCCCTTGCCCATGAACTTCCTCTTGGTAAAGCTCAACCACCACTTGCTCGGCTTGTCCTCGGTCTCGTCGTCGTACACGCGCGCCAATAACCTCTGCGCCAGCTCCTGCCGGACCTGCGACAGGTACTGACGGAGGACTTCTGCGTCTTGACGGTCGCGGGGGGGTTCGTACATCTGTTTTGGGTCAAACTTATTAGCCGCCATCCATTTTTTTTCCACCTTACCGCCACGGCCACATTTACTCCCATCCCATTCCCGATATACTATCCCCGCCCACAATACCCTACTAAACGCCCAGAAAAACTCACCTGATTCAAAGGCCACCCAGGATCTCCCGGCAACGCAAAGTTCACATCCAGCGCCGCATTGTTCACCTCCTTCGTCGCCTCCCTGACCCCATAGTGCGGCTTGATGCGGCCCAGACAGTCGCTGATGAACCAGATACCGTAGACCAGCAGGCGGTCGGCGGGGCCCTGGATCTCAAAGTTGCGGAAGAAGGTGTTGGCGCGGAAGAGAGCTAGCGTCTCGTCCAGAATGTCGTATGACTCCGAGTCCGGGTCGGGCGACTCGTTGGCGGCGAGCGGAGGGTCCGGGAAGGGGAGAGGGTAGGTCGGCCCGCGGATCTTGGTGCGAAGCGGGAAGAGAGGGAAGTTGCCGATTAGGCGGGGGGAGGGGTCGGCATTGAAGACGGAGTTGTAGGCCTAGAAAGTGGCATCGTTAGTTTGGTGTTTGGTGATGAGAGTTGGTGCGTGAGGCCAGAGGCGAGGGAATGCAATTGGGCGCAAAGCGGTTCGTGGTGTTGTTGGGTGGTGATGCGATCATGGACGAAGCTTTGTCGGACGATTAAGGGGTAGCTGGCTGGCTGACTGGTATAGCTTGGGGAAGCTATGCGCATAGCGGCTGGGTGTTGGGAGCTTGCGAGCGGGTGCGCTTACCGGCATTGTGACGGTTGGTATCAAGCTCCCTCTATGAAGCTATTACCAGATTAAGCAAAAGGGTGTTCAAGTTGGAGATAGGTAAATCTGGGATGTCGTGTTGACTTGACCGCGTCCGGGTTCTATGGCGCAGCCTTGCGGGGTGATGGGGTCAATTGGACTTAGGTGACTTGGGCTGGCCTTCCTGGACCTGCAGCGTGCCAGCGATGGGCGATGGCGGCTTCTCCTGCGCTGACGTCGAGCTGGCGGTGACGACCGCTGCTTGCACCGTGCCGCTGTGACGGACTATGTGCAGTGAGAGCTGAAGCTGGTCTGTGCGTCACCTTTCTATTTGAATTTGTGGCTCAGCAGTGAGTGGCTGTGTCCGGACTCCGGATGAGGCCTGGTACAGTATGAAGCACTCCCGGTTCCCATCACGTGTAGAGCTACTACCGGAGCCGGCCTCGTCATCGGACAGGCAGCAGCTCGCTTGGCTCCGATAAAGTGGATCTTTGCGGCCTAAAGTGGAACCACCTAGTCCCGAGGTAATCGGAAGGTCTTGCACAATGCATCATCTGTTTAAGGAGAGCGAATGTGAACAAGTAAAAATGCCACTTCATTGGTATACAGAGGAAGTTTAGTGACACAAAGACTCTTCACGTGTCATGTAGTCAGCCACCGCGTTCGATGTCAGCGCCCGTTTTCCATACAGCTTAAGCTGCTGTGTCTCGAAATCCAGACAAAGAGCAAGACTCCATGCTCAAGGTGGTGTTCCAAGGATCCCATCATTACTCATTATGGCGGAATTTTTCAAGGAAGAAGATTGTCCGAGGTTCACGCCGTGGTCGAGTCCAACAACCTGGAAGAGAGCCAACACCTGGATGTTAGTTGGATAGGATGAAGTCCAACACCGTGAACGCCGCGCTGCGCCCACCGCTGCCTGTTCAAACGACAAGGGAGCCCGTCGTCAAGGAGAGAGGAGAAGACTCAGAAAGCAGAAACATTGAAGAGACAAGAGGGAATGCCAAGACAACAAGTCACGGGAGCTCGTGTGCTAGCGCGTCGAAAATGTTGAAATCAGCCAGCAGTCCAGACTTGGCTGGCTGTTGTTGGCGCAATTGTTCATCCGACGCAAATCCGGCCGGAGACTGCCACACACCCGACAGGCACACCACCAGTCGAGAGCGCTACTACGCTGCTTAAAGGGACTGTGATAGTAGTGTACGCACCAACGCGGAATCAAAAGCGCCGTCGTGCGCCGTCCACTGAGAAAGGGTGATGGAGGGGTATTTTGGGTTCTCCAGTCCCCTCACATACATCACTGCGTCACGGTTCTCTCCCTCTCCCGCCTACCCTCCACCTACTGCCTTCTTCAATCTTTTAAAACCAGCCCTCCGCTTCTTCACGCCCAAAGACAAACACAAGAACCCGGACAAACCCCTCCTCCCACTTTTTGAACTAGGAGGCAAACTTTGATCCTAGTGCTTTTTTCCCCCTCTTTACGGTGACTCAGTCGTTACCAGCGCGACTTGTTTTGGATCGCTTTTCTCCATTCCTCAAACCAAAACAAAACATCATTCCAAGCACCATTTTCAGGTGAGTTGCTTCATTGCATGTTTTACCGGTGCTGCGAATTTGGTGTGATTTCACCTGTGTTTTGTGCGTGGGGCTGACTTGGATTAACAGAAAAAAGGGGACCCCAGAAAAAGGGAACGTGCACTGCAGTGGACGCGCGCATCACTCCCTCCACAAAACGCTCTGCCGATCCGCCCTAGCAGAGCTGTCGCATCCACTGCGCTCCGCCCATTGAATAGGTCAACAAAAGAAGACGACGGACCAGGAACACTCTCCCCCCTTCGAGATAGTTCCCGTCCACTTGCTTCTTTCATGACCGCATTTGAGTACGTCCAGGCCCGCTCATTTTGCGACTTCGCTCTCTTGTCTTGTTCCATCATATCATCGTGCAAACACTTGTTATTTTTTTTAAGACGACCATTCGTTCTGGCAATAGCTACATCGCGCCAACGTTACATCCACATTACAACAACCTGGAACTACATAGCTGACGCGCGCCTCCAATCTCGGCTTCTCTTGTCTTCAGGTCCCTCATTTCTAGCAGTGGCACCTTGTTTGGACAACTGCGCGCCATGATAGAGGTAGCCATGTCAGCCTCACGGGACATATCCGGCCCATCGCCGGGCCCTACACAACAACCCCCGGCCTCAGCCTCCGAAGTTCACAGCCCCGCCTTCAGCAGCCAAAGTACCGATGCATCGACGTCATCGCCGCCGCGCCGGAAACGGACCACCCCAAGGAAACGAAAGGTTCCCCGGGTATACCGCCCCGATGAAGGCTCTATATACGACATAATGCACGACAATTCTGGCAAATCACTCTACGTTCTTCCCATTTGCTGGACAGATCTCCATGCCACGCTCCTTGGCGCATCGTTCACCGAGGGTGCCCCTATTGTCACGCCGGTACCGGAATCTATTCATGGGCAATGGCTCGATCCTTCGCTCCTTGCGCGCCAGCTCACCGACCAACTTCACACCCTGATCAGGAACGAACCGTCCATGACACGAGTATTTTGCAAGAACATGGCCATGAAGAACGCAATGGGCATCTTTTTCCCGGATAGGCTAGCAAACCCCAAGATGAACGCCGAGCTTGACATTTACTTTGGCCAGCGCGTCTTCCGGAAGGCGGTGCGCATTCCGTGCCTGTGGAAGACACCCATCGGCAGTTCATTCGCAACAATACCCACGGTCCCGAACGACTCCTTTTACGTACCCAACAGCCCGCAGGAGCCGCAGCCTGAAATACCCCAGCAGACACCCAACATGCCGATTCTAGCCTACTTCAACAAGTCGCAACTTGCTTTGATACGACAAAACCTGTTCAGGATTATTCAAACGCCCTTCAACCCCAATGACGCTGTCGCCGGTCTACAAGCATTGCGCTCGAAACATTTGATACCCGCCGACGTCGATCAGGATCCGTATCTTGTCGCGATGATGGTCTCCATGGCGCAATCGAATTACTACCAGGATGCTTTGTACTCGCAAAAATCCGACTCCCAACAGTCCACGCGCTCCAGCAACGGCAAACTCTTCGAGCTTACAGAACCAAAGTTCGAGGATACCAAGGTTGCAATCATTGCCCACGACGAGGGCATCGAGAACAACCCCCGGTTTCTTGTCTACACGGCGACGGTGACGGCAGATTACATGGAGCGGTGGCTGTACCCGCTCAAGGTACCCCAGTCGTCCAAGAAAGCGAAGAAGCGGATCAGTCTTGACATAACCATGACGCCCGTCCCCTTCTGGCCCATTCTCGGTTTGAAAGAGCGCCTAGCTAGGGCGCTGGGTAAGGACATTGTCGGTCCGGACGTGTATTCCGACCTCTATCCCGATCACATCGGCTTCTGGGACCTTCTCGTGGAGCCACGCAAAGACGCCACCAACAACAGCACACCACCGAGGAACGAATCCAACTCGAGGAAACGACGTGCTGATAGGCAAGGAGGAAGGGAGTCGCAAAGTAGTCCGAGCGATCAGAGTCAAAGTCAAAGTCAGAGTCAACGACACAGTCAGGGCAGTCAGGGTTACAACAGCCAGGGAAGTGCCACGAGCTCCCAGAGCCAGAGCAGGGGGGATAGTGAGAGTGATAGCCAACGGGAACCCTTGTCCGAGGTTTATAACAGCAGCTTCGAGGAGGAGGCGCCCGAGAGCGACGCCACTACGAGCCCTACGAGATCTGAGGCGGATCGAGCAGACCGAGCAGATCGTGATCGGCCCGTACTAAGTCCGAATACTAAGAGGAGGAGGACGGCGAGGTCTATCAGTGCTGTGGAGGTCCGTTAGTTGCTGACTCACAGTCGGTCGATCGACCGATGGTTCGTGAGGTGAGATCATGATCATGAGGCTCCTTTCTTCTCTACGCTATCTACGCACACATTGTATTTGTTATGAGTCATGTTCTATTGTTGTATGTTTGTCGTGTTATCTCCATGTCACTGGAAGTGCATGGGTTTCAAGAAAGGCTAAACGGGATGCGCGGGATGGAAGGCATAGAAAGAGGAGGGAACCACGAACGGGCATGCTTTGCGTTACGAGGATGGCGTCTCAGATGGGAAGCTTGGGAAACATGGAAACGATACCCCCTTTGCAAATCCAACTTGTGGCTCGTTCGATCAATTCGACCATGGTATATCAAAGTTGGTGTTCAGAGCACTGGTGTGCCGCCGATTGTAGTAAGTACTGGTGTCAATGGTTCTGCTAGTTATCTGTTTGATTGCTGTAAAGATATAAGATGATGGGTATGGCGTTTATGTAAGAACACAAGTACTTTTTGTTTTGGATGAAAGAAGACTCCTCGCCCCTCAGGGCCATGTAATTGTTCATCTTCGAGCGTTTGTCAGCAGTCAATGTTGCATCGAGTTTGTCGGATAATCCATGGACACAACAAACAATGGCGGAGTGTCCATTGTAGCTAGCAAATCGTTCTCATACGGGACGCAACAAATGCCCGCATTCAGAGATCCAGGCTCGAGAGTTTTCGATCTCATTCAGCCATGTCCTCGTCGGTTTTATTCACGATATCTGTGATTGTCACCAAATCCTTCAAAGAGGAAATGTCGGTCAACCCCACCAATAACTCACCAACCGAAAACACATCTAATCACTGCCGTTTTCGTGTCCGCCCTGATCACGACTGCTGTCACTGGCCAGTCTGATGAGCTCCTCTTATGTGAGCCTACCACGAATTCCAGATAAGGGGCAGGTACTTTTGACTGTCACAACTGTCAAATCCATGTGTCTGTGTTGGTGTTACCTGCAGGGCTAGGAAGGTGAGACCCAAAGATGTGCGAGTGGATGCAGTGGTGGTGGCGCCTCTCTTTTCTTGTCTGTTCCGTCATTCTGCCCCATGCTATTTATTCGCTCGCTCCTTCCTTTTGCACTCGGACTGTCATCGACTCAGATCCTGAGGACAGATGCGAGTGTTTGGCAACTACTCGTCATGACTTGTGCTGATATTGGATGGGAACGTGACTCGGATGATTCATGAGTGTCGTGTGGTTTGTGCCTTCCGCTGTGAAGATTTGCGTTAACATCAATGGGCTGACCGGTTTTTGCCTAAGTCGTCTCAAACATTTGAGGGGTGGCAGCTTCCATTTGGGAGGTGTGTCCAGATTGGTCACTTTGCGTTTTGTGCTTGTAGTGCTCTCTCTCGATTCTCGAGTATCGAGAGAATATTCCCAAATTAAAGGATTGACACCTACAGCATCATCACTCTTGGGTACCTACATATCATTTTGCTACCTACCCATGTATAAAAGCTTCAACGAGCTTCGAACCCTATACACATAATCTACTGCTCATCATATCAAAACTCAAGCGATACTACCTCTCCCTAACGAACCACTACCATTGCCTTGACTTGCTTTCGCTCAAGTTATTCACCAATCTTCAACTACACCCCAGATCATCAAGAATCACGGCCCGCTGGCAATCATGGGTCTAGAGGACTTTGTCGAGAAAGTCGTCGACGCTGTTGACGGGCAGGAGTACGTTCACTCTCACGTGCATTCTTCTCCTTCAGCCATATCATATCCCTTTGAAGTTTCGTTTGCCAAAGGCGGCAAGACAGACCTGGATTTCAAGTCCAGAAACCTTGTTTGGTCCCTTCCCGAGTCGTCCAAAGGCAGCCAAGGCATGTGACTAACCTCTCCCCTCTCCTTCTTCAGTGCTTCCGAGCAAGTAGCAGCCGATGAGACGGGTGATGACGCTAAGGAGGATGCCGTTGTTGACAGTAGTGAGTTCAACGATGATATCTATCTTTCCCCAGTAGGCCTGGGTTTGTTCTAACAAGCAACCCCCCCCCCTCTTCGAGTCGTCGATGAAGTAGCCGAGAAGGAAGACATTCCGGCGGCTCTCCTTCCTGAGATCAATGATGCCGTTAACGATGAGTTCAACAAGCTCTGAGATCGACTAGAATGGGGGTGTTTAGGCGACATGGTGAGAAGTGGTGCGTGTGAAAGGAGTATTTTGCGGGGAGGCTCTTAAGCCCAGTTTATGTGCCGCTATTGAGCATAGAAACATTATCACATCCTTGGTCTTGATACCTGGAAGGCTTGCAAACCATTGGCAAGTAATTGCCTCGGATCGTCAGGAACAGGAGACACTCCCCCTTCTTTGAAGAATGCGGGCCGGCGTGCTGATGTGGGTGTGACGATCCAGTCCCACCACTTCCAGAAGTTCAGCAGAGCTACAAACAGAGACGGGACGATCGACTGGTGGAACATGGTAGTGTAGACTGTGTATGGTGAGTCGCGGGTACGCAGCTCGCGAAATTTTAGACTCGGTGAGCTACGCTGTAAGAGTCGACAGAAATCATGAATGAGACTGGCAGACTGTTCCACATCCGCTCCCCGGCCGTGGTGCGTAACACATGATCTTGACCGGCGGAAATGGAAGTAGCGCTGGTGTACTGTGAGGAGGACATAGGTTGGCTAACCTTTTTGTTCCGTGCTTCAGTTCCCCCCCTCCCGTTCGAGTGTTCTGTTGTACCTAATATTCACCGAGCAATCGATACCTCCAGGTGAGTTTGCGACTTCGACGCAGATTATTGAGAGCCTCGCAAAGAACCAACCCCCCGAACGAAGCGAACCAAACCCATACCAATATTTAATTCGGTAATGGGGAGAATTTCAAGGCTTCCTACATGTTGCCTTTTCAGTGGACTTTGCAGTTTGGAATTTGAACTGGGAGGGCTCGGAAGGGAAATGTTGGCAGATGTCAGATTGTGAGAGATCGTAATTGGATACCCCCGCAGTTCACGTCAGACTTCCGCTGCTAGTAGGTTGTGGGTTGCTGATCTTGAGGCCAAGAAGAAGTTGGGGTAAACACTCCGCAATTTTCACCGAACATCATCACAAACACGAGGGGGGTGGGTGTGGTGGTTGGCTTGGTTTACCGCCGTAGCCGTTTGCCGTTGACGTGACCTGTAGTTGTCAGACCCCGTATTTCACTCCGATTGTGCCATGCGAGATGGATGATGGAGGTGTGTGGAGGCGGGGAGATGTGAGGTCGAGGTCGTCGGCGCGTGTATCCGAACGTGACGAGTCTCGCAGTTGAAGTTTGTAGGGTTCTTTGGATGACTAACAGCAACAACCTAACCCCTCTTAGGAGATCAGCAGTCTGGAATTGGCATTTGTGATGTTCTATCACATGAAGGAAATCTTTCACATCGGGAGGATTCTGCCAAGGCCGAGAGTTTAGGCAGTTTTCCTTCAAGTCGCAAACAACTCACGATGCTACAGTCGTGACAATGCCCAAGGACAAACACCAACTTGACCTGAAATTTCATTTTTATTTTGTGAGAGAAAGACGTTGAGATGGTATCACAGGGGCATTTGCAAAGCTCATGTTGCAACAGTCTTGTAGCGGATATCAATAGATTGGATAATTGCATCCAGCTTGGCCGCTGCTAAGATTGACGCCGTCGTGTTCGGAATGGAGATGTCGGACGATATCAAAACACAATGGCAGGCAGTTGCACCGCACGATGCGGACTCGGTGACGGCGCCGAGACCGAAATGAAATTTTTCGTTTGTGAGGTTCCTCAGTTCCGACCTTTGTTCAAAGCCTTTAACGTAGCTGGCCTTTCCAAATTTGCTTGGGCACCTAGCGATGAAGAAAAGAGCGACGAAAGAAAAAGAGAGGAAAGATGGAAAGCTCAGCCGCTGCGCTAACACCAGCATGGAAGGAACCCCGGCACTGCCCCTGCCCGGCTTCAAATGCCGCTACACTGCAGAGTTCCTGCCTCCCTTCCGCCTTGGGCGAATAGCACACAGGCGCCGGTTCTCATATCAGCCAAACCCTGTGCTCCACATGATGCCCCAACCCACCTGCCCCGGCGGTGATCCACTCTTCACTTTCCCTCTTTCATCCATTTCGTCTTTTGCTTTTCGGTACAGTAGGTAGTTCTCCTTCCATTTTCGACTTCGACTTTTCATTATTCCTCTCTCATACAGTGTCACATTGATCCCTTCAGCCCCCTTCGTATTTCAGCCTGTCGAAACGAAGCTTACATGGCTTCCGCACGTTCCCGAGCGGCAACGCCGTCCAGCTCATGTCAAGTATGTCTTACTGATATCAGTCCACGACATGACAAGAAACACCGGCAAATGTATTGGAGATAGCTTCATTCCAACCGATTTCAGCGCAAATCTCACCGCAAGGACTGCCCCCGATGCCCTCTAATTACTGTTTCCAAAGCCTCGCTGTGCCTCCTGTGCCTCGTGAGCTCCGGCGAAGCTACTCCAACTCTTTGCCAGGTACCCCTCACCCTGGATCGGAAGTTGGAAAAGCTCACATCCAACCATAGCCAAACCGCGGACACCACGAAACGCCCAACTACCGATAGCGCCTTTTTATCGACGACTATCCTTGCCTACACGAGACCGAGGCTTTTCATCTAGCGCCAAGGACAGGGACACCACCAGGCACAACAGGCACACCAGGCACAACTCGGGAACTGGTCGCACATCTTTCACATGCTATGGATATGCTCTTCCAAAGCGCTGGTCACCATCTCGCACTCGAATTGTTTTGTTTGTTGGTGTTGGGCACCCAAACTCGCAAAATGTCCTCCGACGTTCCATCTTGCCCAGCAAGATCTATGCTACCATGATTAGCGAGCACAAATGTCACCAATCGACGTGTTGTTTTCTAGGATTCCCCGTGGGGAAGTGGAGTCCTCGTAACATGGGTTCACTATGGTTACCGTCGTCGCCGTCGTCGTTGTCGCCGTCGTATTGTAGCAGTCACACTGCCTTGTCCGCCGCCCACAAACAAACTAATCGGCCATCCAAGATAACAAATATCCTGCATGCCCGGTGGTAACCTGGACGGTAGTTGAGGTGGGAAGTCCTGGGGAAATGCTCCCCTAACCTTCGGCCACTTGCCCGTCTCGTCCATATCTCCATGTTGGCACATGGTCACCTGGCCCTGCTTGCAACCACGAAAGAGCCTCCCTCCACCCTGCTGCTCCGGTCAGCAACCCAACACCACAACCACCGAAATGCGGGGTGGAAGACACAAGCAAAGCTCTCTCGTTCTGGGCTGGCTTGCAAGTCCCTTGCCCATCCGTTGTCCAACTGAACTGACGAGGGTCAAGGGACTAAGAGTTTTGTGAGATGGATCCACGAAGCATGTGCGTGGGTTAGCCTATGGATGGGACGGCTAGGGATCGATCATCGACTGTCAATATTGGTATTAAACCACCACCATCCCGCCGCTGTCGAGATGTGATCAAAAGAGAAGAGACGACAAGGACTGTTCCCTCTCCCTCCCCTTCCTCATCCACTCCGGGTCACATCGTCACCATGAAGGGCTTTCCCAACGCTCTCCTTGCCACCTCGCTGGCCCTCCTCGGCCGGGTCTCTGCTGCCCCAGCTGAGCCCCCTACCCAGGTGTTGGACAAGCGGGCCGCCCCGACTGTCACCATTTCCACCGGTACGATTGTGGGTGCTAACGGCATCCTCACTGAGGCCTTCAACGGAATTCCCTACGCACTTCCTCCCACCGGCAATCTGCGCCTCAAGCCTCCCGTGAGACTTAAGTCGTCTCTGGGTGTCTTTGATGCGTCTGGCATCGGCCCTGCTTGCCCCCAGTTCCTTGCCGACACCTCGTCGAACGAGTTTCTGCCTCAGGTTATCGATAAGATCGTTAACACGCAGCTCTTCAAGACCATACTCAACGTCAAGGAGGACTGCTTGACCATCTCGGTCACTCGTCCCAAGGGCACCAAGGCTGGTGATAAGCTCCCCGTCCTTTTCTGGATCTTTGGTGGTGGTTTCGAAGTGAGCAATCCAGCTTATATACGCGATGTAATGAACAAAGGCTGAAACTTCACAGCTCGGATCGGCCTCCATGTACGATGGCGCTCCCCTAGTCACCAATGCTATCAACATGGGTAAGCCGTACGTCTACGTTGCCGTCAACTACCGTGTCGGTGGTTTTGGTTTCATGCCCGGAAAGGAGATCCTTAAGGACGGCTCCTCCAACTTGGGCCACCTCGACCAGCGCATGGGCCTCCAGTGGGTTGCCGACAACATTGCTGCCTTCGGCGGTGACCCGGACAAGGTCACTATCTGGGGCGAGTCCGCCGGTGCCATGTCCGTTTTTAACCAGATGTCCCTCTACGATGGTGACAACACGTACAACGGAAAGCCCCTTTTCCGTGGCGCTATCATGAACTCTGGTTCCATCGTCCCCGCCGGCCCCGTCGACTGCCCCAAGGGCCAGAAAGTCTACGACACCGTCGTCAAGAACGCCGGCTGCTCTGGTGCTGCTGACACCCTTGCTTGCCTGCGCGCTCTTCCCTACGAGACTTTTCTCAAAGCCGCTAACTCCGTGCCTGGGATTCTGTCGTACAACTCCGTTGCTCTTTCTTACCTCCCGCGTCCCGATGGGAAGGTTTTGACTCAGAGCTCCGATAAGCTCATGCTTGCTAAGAAGTACGCCGCCGTCCCCATGATCATCGGCGATCAAGAGGACGAGGGCACTCTCTTCTCCCTCTTCCAGAGCAACATCACCACCACCAGCAAGCTGGTCAGCTACCTCAACGATATCTTCTTCAACGACGCCACCGAGTCGCAGATTAAGTCTCTCGTCTCGACCTACAGTACCCTTATCTCCGCCGGCTCGCCCTTTGGCACCGGCCTCTTCAACGAGATTTACCCCGGCTTCAAGCGCCTGGCCGCCATCCTCGGCGATCTCATCTTCACCCTAAGCCGCCGCATCTTTCTCGACGCCGCCACCACTCTCAACCCCTCGGTGCCCGCCTGGTCGTATCTTGCGTCTTACAACTTTGGCACCCCCATCCTCGGAACCTTTCACGCCTCCGATATCCTGCAGGTGTTCTACGGCATCCTGCCCAACTACGCCAGCAAAAGCATCCAGTCTTACTACGCCAACTTTGTCTACAACCTTGACCCCAACGACGCCTCCGGTGGCACTTCCTCTAAGAGCAAGGTCGGCCAGGATTGGCCGCAATGGCAGAAGGAGAGAAAGCTGGTCCAGTTCTTTGCGGACTATGCCGGATATCTAACGGATGATTTCCGCTCTGACTCGTATAACTGGATTAAGGCTAATATTGATGCTCTTCACATCTAAGGGGATGAAATGACGGAGTGTCTAGGACACTGTCAAAGGATTGAAGCTGCAGTGTGGAGGTTGAAATGATTGAAGATGATACGGCATTCCAATCAAAGGCAAGGACGTTTTTTGGTGCATGTTCCTGAGCCGTGATGTCCTGCAGCGGTTATGAGTCTGGATGATGGTTCATGCACGGGGCAATGATGGAAGGATGCATCGGGGTACTGAGGAATCGAGTTATCATCTGGAGGATTGGGATGGATAAGGATGGGACAGTCAGGCGTCATCTAGCATCGGGTTTTGAATGCATTTGAAGTTTTTGCATCATCATCGTTTTGCTATTCTCGCCTGCTTTGGTTCGTGAAGCGCAAGTACAGGTAGGTCACATCGAGACTGGTGTCACCTCCCTTTTCGCGGTGTTCCTCTGCTCCACTCGACGAGGCGTCATTGCTCGGATGTAAGCTCGAGTGCATGTGTATGTTCAGTCGCTTGTGAGCTATCTCTTTCCTTCGAGTATGACTTGGTCACTCCAATCCAATCTTCTCAAATCTTCAGTTGTGTCCGAGGTGGTAAACCTCATAACAGAGTTTCTTGTTGTAATTCCGTTGTTAAAGCGTTCATCCTGCACCTCTGCCGCATTTGTATCTGTATGTTGTATTTGTATTTGTATCTGCATGTTTTACGAATTTTGTATCTGAGACACAAAGGACTTGAACACCTTGACCATCGCCGGATCAGGCGGCTCAATTCCGGCGTGCGTTACGGGTAGTGATGATGGCTTTGATGATGATGATGATAATGATGATGATGCCCCCGGCGCCGTTCTTTTCCCTTGAACTTCAAATGCCTCTCCTCTTGCCACTGTCTCTGCCCCTGCCCCTGCCCCTGCCCCTGCAGTTTCCTCCCCGGCCGCCGCCGTACCATGACTTGCGCGCGACGTGCCAATAACCCATCGACTTTGGAGTTCTTTTTGACGTTGTTTGTGATAACTTGGGCTTTTCCTTTGCCTTTGACTCGCTGGATTCTCCCTTTGACTTTGCGTCTGGCTTTCCTCCCCCCGACCTTGACTTTGACTCGGACCCTGCTGAGTTGGATTTGGGCTCGGACTTTGACTTGCACGTGCTGATGGTTCGTAATCGTTGTCGGTGTCCGTGCCGTCTTCTCCTCCTTCGTGATCTCTTTTCCGTTTTCGTTGGCGATCTCGTCCGCGATTCCGCTCCGTGTCACTTAATACCGATGGTGATCTTGCCCTGTTGGTACTGCCATTCCTGTTTGCTGACGGAGTGTTGTGGGTGTCATGGTTGGCGTCGGCGTCTCTCGCGGCCCCTGACTCTGGTGTTGAAATCTGGGACGGAGATAGACTTGAGCCAATCTCGATTGTGTAATTGGAGCCGCAGCCTCTTGTGGTTTGTAAAATGTGTCTCTGTTTCGGTTGTTAGCGGGTGCCTCAATTCGTTCTTTCCTCTTTTTTATGCTTCTCGCCCCTCTGTCCCTCCCACCCTTCCGTTTTTTGTTTTTTTTTCCTTTTTTGGTTTCCGAATTTCTCCTTGATACTTTCCTGTTACCCTTGCCTCTTTGCTTTCCCGCTCTCACTTCCTCGACTGCTGGAACCACTCACACCGCCAATCAGATATTTCTCCTGTCATACCTTGCTTCTCCCGAATTGACCCTCCAACACGATCTTCCACAGTCATTCCCTGCTTTCCCTTCCAACTCATTCAAAAGAAAGCAGAAAAAAAGAACTCAAACTAACCTTAAGCGCATCCTGCCTCCCAAACCTCTTCCCACAGCTCTCACAAGCAAACGGCTTTTCTGGGAAATGCACCAACATGTGCCTCTTCAAATCATGACTGCGAGCAAAACTTAGCGGGCAATTCGAGACGTCACACCGGTAGGGGCGATGCTCGCTCGACACCCCTGGTCCGCCATAGCTTGCGCTTTGGCCATGTTGCGGTCCGTATTGGTGGGCCGGATTCTGGCCTGGTGCCGGGACTTGCGCTGGATGGCCTTGGGCGTGTTGTTGTGCCGGTGGTGGTCTGTACATCTGGTTTTGCTGGGCTTGGGCTTGAGCTTGGGCTTGGACGTAGGCTTGGGCTCTGTTGAGGACTGCGGACTGGGAGTAACGTGGTCCGTAGATCTCCTTGTATCGGGCTGCCGCTTCGGCTTCAGCTTGGGCTTGGAGATGAGGTGGTAATGGAGCTGATGGTGGGAGTTGTTGGAGTTGCCTTGGCCGTGGTGGGGGTTCTTGGTAGATGATCTTGGTTGGTTGTCCTTGGCGTTGCTGTTGTTGATTCCGTTGCTGTTGCTGCTGTTGCTGCTGTCCCTCTCCTCCACTTCTGCCTTGAACCAACGCGTACCATTGCACCCCGTTTCGTTTGGACGATTTCGAGTTAGTTGCCTTTCCCGTCTGTATCTGGAACAGCGGTTTGGAAGAAGGCGGGTAGAACTTTGGCTTAGGCGGTTCTTTCGGGTCCTTGCCTGGCGAGCGGTAGAAACCAAACGGGGCGTCAGATCCGGGAACTTGTCCTGATGATGAGATGAATAGCGGCGGCGGCGGCGGCGGTGGTGGTGGCGGTGCCTGGTGATAGACGGGTGGCGGACGATGATTGGGATGGGCTTGACTGTATTGTGATCTGTAAATCTGCTTGTATTGGGCTTCGGCTTGAGCTTCGGGGGTGGCATGGACTTGGAGATCAGAAGCTAGTGGTGCTGATGGGGGATGATGAGCGGGATGAGGATGGGGACCGGGATGAGGTTGAGGAGCAGGATAGGGCTGAGGCGCGGGATAGGCCTGAGGTGGAGGGTAGACCCGGATCGGAGGGTTTGGGTAGGGATGAGGAGCGGAGGTGAGGATGTAAAGCCCAGTGCCGGGCGGTGGCCCGCCTGGTGTCGGAGGGAATGAGAAGCCATGTGGTGGTACTACGTCGCTCGGAGCACCGGTAGAAGGAGGCGGTGGTGGTGGATGTGGGTGCGAATGGTGTGGGTGGGACGGGCCGGGCCCGGGCTGATCGCCGTGATGTGGGGCTGGTGGGATTAGGGAGGAGAGGGGAGGTAGCTGCTTGGCATTAGAGTTGGCGTCGACGGCCTCGGACGAATCTGGGCGCGGCGATGGCGATTGCAACTGTTCATGTTGCTGTTGTTGTTGTTGTTGTTCTTCTTTTGGTTCGTGACCGGATGTTGGGTCTGAAGAAGGACCAAGATCGGGACCGGGACTGCTTGTGGAGTTTGGACTCGGCGATGAATCGGTTGTGACCCAATCCGAAGAGTTGGAAACCTCGGAGCCGGGACTTCCCGCAGAGATTGGATCTGGTGGAGGACCGGTTGTGGCAGCGGCCGGACTGACAGGAGCCGGAGAGGGTGACGGCGGCACACCGCTCGCGGCGGCTACGGGCGTGGTTACGCCATTTGTTGACGACGAGACGGTGTCTGCCGGCGGTGCCTCTGATGGCGACACGATCGGAGACGGAGGACGTGTGTCATTTGATGGAATGCTATGAGCGCCCTCGTCTTGAGGCTCCGAAGACTTGGGCGACGATTCTGCGTCTGGTTCACTCATGATGAGGGCGCGCGCGCTCAAGTTGCAGTGAAATTTTCTTATGAGAGGGCGTCTGCGAGTTTTGTGACTGCCCTGACTGCGTGATGCAGTGAGCGCGAGTTAGCGCACTATCGCAACCGAGCACGCTGCGACACAGTGTCTACAGCGTTCTGCTGTTAGCCGGGTATCTGGCCACCCCCAGCGAGGTGCATGGCGGACAGACCGCTATGACGTTCGAGACTGCAAATACGAAATTGAAGCAAACCCGCGATGAAGATGACATCCCACAGAGCTGGAGACCGTTTGCAATCTTTCCTTCTGCAGCCGCAGCTAGCAGCTGAACTCGGCCCTGTCATGACCTGGACCACTGACAATCACCGGACCGTTCCACTCTCACCGTGACGGTCCTAGCGGCCGGCGACCGAAACCGGGCAACCGTAGCCAACCGGAATTCCACCCTCAAGATTGGCGGCGGACAGGGGGCTGTGGCTGAATCTTTAGCATCTGATTGGCGTCGACAAACCCCCAGGATACCCCCACTCCAAACGCCAAAAGCAACGTCAACAACGTCAATTTCTCGACGACGACGACATTGGCCTAACGATACGCGCCATGATACCTCGACGATAGAAAAGAGACTTCAACGGCTTGAACCTCATAGCCGTCGCTCCGTACATGGTTGTCAGTCATCCGCGGACCTATCGGTATCGGGCCCCAGAAGACGTTCGTTCCAGGGCTGTACGGCATAACGCAGCATGAGGCTCGATGGCTCCGTGTCACTGGTGATCATGTCCATGACTTCATGTACATGCCCTCAAGCTGTTATACACGAAGTAATGCTTGCTAGTGGAGAGGCTCCGATCACTCGTTGCTTTTCAAAGCACTCAAGTGGCTACATGGCAGGCAATCGTTTCTTGTTTACTTCACGCTGTTTGATAAGGAGTTACAGACGAAACAAGTACTAAAGACACAATCCAGAGTCACCGCACCCTGCGCGAGCCAGCTGTTGGGAGGCTGTAAGGTATAAGATGGCACAGAATGCCAACTATCTCCCATCATACATCCATGCATGCTACCCCTCATCTCTATCAGGGATCGCGGGCCACAAGCTACCTCGGGAGTCACAAAAGCCCACCATGAGACGGCACCACCAAGGATCCTGAGGGGCGAAGCTTCAAATCTTGAACTGCGAGATCTTCTGCGTCTAAATCCGCTAACACTCCGTGATGACGCTCTGGAATGCTTGGTGCTTGGATGGCAGTGCTCCAACAAAATCTTCACCCCAAGATGTCCTGCCATCTTGCCGCACCGGCACCTCGGGGTGTGCGGATCTACATGTGCGCCAAGAAGCTGCTCGATCAAGACAGCAGCTTGGGTACCGCAATGTCGCGGGCCGTTCGATGTGAGAGACCAGCCTAGTCAGACATATGTAGGTATGTTTGAATATGTACAGTGGGGGAGATGTTCTCCCCGTGCCCTGTTTTTCTCCCTGTTTTTCAAGGCCCCTGGAGGGTGAGAACACAGAATCACCGTCTTGTACACGATTTTGTGGTGGGCATACATGTTGCAGTATGCTGGCGTATTTGTGCTAACCTGTACTGATTAGGCTCGTTCCCAGAACGAACGACCCGAGGCATTGTAGTCCTCCCATTTACTGCTCTTTTCCAGTTTTCGTTCGTACAAAACTGGTGGCTCCCGACGATAAGACAAGTAGATATTGCATGCCTTCACGTCATTAAGGTAGGCATATGCGTCTGTTGAAGGGACATTTCAGAACATGGGGATATAAAAATCAATCTGATTCTCCCTTTTCTTGCTACAATGTCTCGACTGTCCTGCTTCCTGGACCTTTCCAACCGCTGCTCAACCTCACGCTTCCACACCTAGCAATAAATTAATAGCCGTGTAACCAAACGCAAACATCATGGGTTCCACGAACAACAATGGTTTCACTGGGGGCTTCGGCTCCTTTGACTTATCTCCAAGGAAGGATTGGAACTCCTTCAATGACGATAACCCAGAGTCATTGGACTATGAGCCGGCCTACCCTTTTGCAAGTCCGGCACTTCTTTAAATCCGCTGTCGGTCGAAGCTCTCTTACCACTCCACCTTCGCACAAACCAGACAACACCAACTTGGCCGTTATGGACCTCCCCTCGGAAATACTTTGTCAAGTTTTCGAACATATTATCGCTCCTTTTAAAGAATACTATGATGACAATCTTGTACCGCAGTATTTCAGGGGTAGGGGTATCCGCTTTCAAGTCGTCGAGAGCTCCTTCTCCCATGAATCACCCTCTTCAACTGATAACCTCACTGTCACTGGTGAAGTATCCATTCGAAACTTGAACCAGATGGTTGCAACTCGACAGGCCGTCGACCCTCTTGCAACCTACCGAGAGATCGAGTCCGGTACTGCTGAGACAATTCCGGATGGATGGCTCCAGAGCGAAGGGGTTGCCCAACAATTGGAACAGTTATCCTGGGATGAGGACGAGATGACCGAGGAGGATACAGACGATTACTCCGACAGTGATGAGTCGAGCGATGATGAGTCGAGCGATGACGACACGGCAGATAACGGGGAGGATGTTGCTGCGTTCGTTCCCAGAGCATCTAGTCGTAGGCTTGTGCTTGATCGAGATCCCGTATGCGATCCTGATGGTGCCAAGCGGGCATTTCTCGCTACGAACAGGCGGGATGGCGAGGGCCCAACTCAATCACACCGACTTCTCATTGATCCCTTGTTGGAGAAGTGCTGCGACCTCCTGTGTGGCTTTACGGGGGCCCTCGATGATAAAGAGGAGTTGGGGCATATTTTTGACGATATCGAAAGAGAAAACAACAACAGGTGCGTTACCATTTTTCGACATGTCACAGATGCCTCTTGCATCAAGTCATCGCCCTCTGGTGAGCCATCCTCTAAAGGCTCAGCCCAATCTTCAACGCCGACACCTTCAAAAGTCTCTACTCCTGCGACGCCTCTCCTCAGATCTGCCATCGCCATCCCGGAATCAAGTTCCCTCGCCACAGCGGAGGATGGCAAAGACGCGGAGCACCTGGACTCTCCAATATTTGATGATGATGATGATGATGAATACAGTGATCCATTAGAATATGTGGACTACGATTTCGTCATGGTCTACAGGCCACATATCTGGGAGACAGACGAGGAGATTGTCGCTCTGGAAACGCCGCGCCGCGCTTGTCCACACTCCACCGCTTACGAGCCACGCTGTCGTTTTCGTTCTCCCCATCAGTACCAGAACTTGCTGCGACTTTCTCAGCTATCACCAGGTGTCACAAAAGAACTCGGAAAAACCCTGTACCCCAACTGCACGGCCGAATTCCCCTACGGCCCCCACCTCTTCCCCGTCTTCGCCGCGGAGCGCCCCGCCATCCTGCCCATGATCCGCGGAATCATCCTGCATCTCGACTGCTCCGCCGACTTCAACGACACCATAACCACGGAGCTGGCGCACATGCTGTCCTTCTTCTCACCGTCCCTGCGCCCCGACTCACCTTGCAGGAAACTGGCATTCCTCACCGTGAAGCTGCGCACCAGCCTGGTTGACATTCCTCGCTGGCCGCAGGAGAACGTAGAGGTACCCTTGACGGAAAAGCAGCTCATCATGGACAAGCTGAGGGAATGGGGGCCGCTCTTTCGAGCTGTGCACACCGACGAATTTCTTCTAAGGTTGGTGGGTATTCGGCATGAAGTTTGCTCCGCGGCGCAAGGGGTGCCTTATGGAATGGGGCAGGAAGATTGGGAAAGAGAGGTGACGAACAGGGAGATAATGGCGATGTGGAGATATGCCGGTTTGCTTGAGTGAAGGCCATATCTCTAGTTGGTGAGAGCATGAGCGGGCTAGAAGGCGTCTTGGATAGGTAGTTGACCTGGAGGCTGAAGGGTGTGAATTGGATACATCTAGTCAGGATGATGAGGCTGTTTGGAGTTGTTTGGCAGGAAACCAGGACTTGGCTGCCTTGTTCCACAGCTCAGCATCCTCCGTCTACACTAGGTCGCGACCTCCTCAAGGGTAAAATCCTCCATGGTACCTTATCCTTTCTCAATGCTCTGTTGACCGACTCGACCAACTTGGGGTCAATATTGTACCACTACCACTGGGCCCGGAAACACAGCTTGATCGCAGTGTAGCGGGCCTGCCTGAGGTACTTGGCCGCGCTGATAGTCGTGCTGGTCTTTTCTTGATCGAACCTGGCGTGCCAGTACAGCTAGCGGGCTTGGTCGTAGTTGTCCTTTTTGCCGTTGTGCCAGAAGCCGAGCGGCGCGAGCAGACGCTGTGGGACACCTGGTATATCAACTGATCAGGAACGAGAGGAATCCGAGTGGCCGAATTGGACGCCGAGCAAGGTACATTGGGGACGAGGTTGGACTGTGCTTCCCTTGCGAATCTCGAAAAGTTGGATCGTGGTGTCGCTGTTTCTGTCAATGGATGTTTCGCTTCCTTGCTTCGGGGGAACAGTTAGGGGTTTATCCTAGTAGCGGGCGGCCACTTGCAAAGACGTTGCATGTGTGGGAAAACGTCTTGTATTACAGTGCCGACTGTTGGTATTGGACAGACGAAGCTTCAGCGAATGAATTCTCTTGCTTCGCATGTAAGATTTCCCAAAACGGCCTTCCCAAGTCATGCCCTTGGGGATATGACAAGGAGCAAACAACGTCGATGCGGCTGATAATAGACGAGATTTTATAGAAAACCGCTTTCATTCCTAGCAGCGGTACTTGGAAATGGAGAGGGAAGGCAGGCACATAGCAGCGGGTTATGAAAAAACCCCCTGGACTCATGTACGCCACAAAAATACCTCTGGATACGCAGCGTAAAATACATCATACCTTACAGCGTGCCCGTAATTTTCGTCTCCACACTGTCTTAGGCTGCAGTAGACTTATTTAGCAGCTGCATTGATCAACTGCATGGGTCCAAATGACAGATGTAACAATTGCAAGAATTATTCCTGAACCCGCATCTCCAAACTTTGCGGCTCGACTTGGAAACCCGGGCCGATTCCATTAGCAGCAGTTTTGAGATTATAATGCCAACGCTATGGGCTTACATCCAACAAATCGGACCATACCAGTTCAATCGGGTATGGTGTAGCGGTAACATCGTTGACTCTCACTTCTTAGGAGTGACTGCTCTCTCAACAGCCCCGGGTTCGACTCCCGGTATCCGAGTCTTAAATTTTTTTTTCGAACTTTTTCCTTTCTTAACCTGAAAAGCGCAACTCACAACTTCATTTCTTTCTTTTTTCTTTTGTTTTCATTATTTGGACTGCAGCTCAGCTTCACGACCTCACTTCTTTTACTTGCTCGTCGTGGGTGCGACATTGCCTTCCCGTAGGTACGATTAGTCCTTAGCCCACCCCTTTCACTTCCTTTAGTTTCTCCATCTGCCAGGTGTTATCCATTTCCTCTTGTTAGGTTTGCAAGAAGAAAAAGGCCTCAATTGAGCACTTATTCTTGTCCTTTCGCCTTGTGACTATGGAAGGAACGAGCGCGTTTCCTCCTTCCGCCCCATTTGCAGAAGGGATCATTCCGACAAAACAACGCACAGAAATTGTTTCTTTCACGGGACTTTGACTAGGCCTCTTTGCTTCCAACACTCAGATCTCCTTCGTCTACCCTGCTGTTATATTTTCCACCAGACTTGGCCTACAAATTCCATCGTACCTCGTGATTGCTTAACTCCACGTTGAGGGCTTGCCACTAATTCTGCATTTCACTGCTACTTAGACACTTTGAAGCTTTTCCACTTCGGATATTGGGTATCGATTCTCTGAAGATAGATACAACTATGTCTGCCTCCTGGATTCTGGCTACCTAGTTTTTACGCAGGTGCCTACGTGCCAAAACTAAAGGTTCTAGAGAAATATTTGATCAGTCCTTTATTGCAACATGGCACGACCTTACCCCAATAATGTCGATGTGAAAGGGTCAAACAGACTGTTGTCTCGACAGGTATGCAATCTACCATACCAGTGTGGGATCGATCAATCGAAGATAGGCCGAGCATTCTCCTTTCTCCACCCGTGCGGTATTCGTCTTGGTCGATGCGATCCACGCAAGTTCGCGGTTTCCTGGTACTTACCTTCGCTCATCGTCATCGTTTTGATACAAAGCCAGGCCACGTTGAGAATAGGAGTGACTGCAGGAACACAGCATGGAAGTCTTTGATGGTTAGAGCGATTTCCGTCTTGCGTCCTTTGCTAATGCCTTGAACACGATAAAGGGGGTACCAAATGCATCGAAATTCCGTCCCATGTTGTCGCAAATCCTTTGCAGATATTTTCTAGCCAATAAGAATTTCAGTTCAGCTGTTTGTCCCGACATCTTAACTCCACAGGGACATACATTGAACCAGGACCAGTTTCTATTTTGCGCTGTTGTGGTCTTACTGTGGGAGAAGGCATGGCAACCATTCACCGGTAATGTCCCACATTTCTTGCTCAACAATACAGATCTTTACACCAACTTCTCAAATCACATGATGTTCAAGCTCAAAGCTTGATGAACCTACGCGACATTTCTTTCTTACCTGCGAGAAGCATCTCAGAAGCACCAAAACCAGTGAACTATACCAGCGACTGCTTTGTATCCACACAACAAGCAAAGTATATCTAGAGCACTCTCATAACATGAATGATCATCTCAGCAACGGTGATGAGGTACGTGCTAACTTCCGCTGTTAGGCGCCAGAGACTCAGAGAGGGGCTTACTGACCAGGCAATGAAAAGTGCTTCGATATCGACATGCCCAACATGAACGCCCAACCTGACCAAGCCAGACGTCAGATCCAAGATCAGCCCCCGCTTCCAACGAGCATCGCAGTTCAAAACCAGCCCACGCAGGTTCATTTTCCGAATGTGCCAGCCGCCGCGGAATTCGGTGCCATTGCCCACGGCCCTGTCCAGATCCCTCCCGACACTGTTGCACGAAGAGAGCGCCTGAAGAAAGCTCTCCTAAGCCTCGACACTAATCGCGAGGTCGCATGGCAAAAGATGTCCGGCCATATGCGCTACGATTTCCACAAGGAGCTTGCCAAGGCCGAAACGCGCGCCGAGCCGCTCGAAGCCTGGGAGAAGTATTTTCTGTCCAACAACTCAGAGGAAGACAAGATCAGAGTGTACCGGGAGCTTGCCTTTGAGAGGTACAGGGAGCGGGAGAAGCTCTTGGTGAAGCTGAAGGAGCACCTCGAGAAGTACGACGGCCTGCGCAGTGAAATGCAGATGTTGAAGGAGCATGTCTTCAACCTGGAATATACGATCCAGCGGAATGAGTTTGCCAGGCAGCAGATGACGAGGAGGATTGCCGAGCTAGAGAGGAGCCATCTGGTGTTGACTTCGGGTTTGGACGAGAGGATTCATCTCTTGAATGAGAAGGTAGACAGAAAGGTCCAGGAGTTGGAGGGGGCGGTTGAAGAGATGAAGAAGAGTGAGGAAGGGCTGTCAGATATGGAGGAGGAGCATACCTGGTAACGATGAACTGAAGTTGATGAAAGTTGAAGACAACGCAAGTCACTAAAGCTTGTTTGTTTGGCTATGACAAGGCGTTTGTTGAGTGTTGACATTGGGTTATGACTCCTTGCCTTGAAGTTCAAAGTGAAGGAAGTGTAAACACAGACATACACAAAGAAAACAACTAGATGTGAAAGTGAACAAAGAAGCGACTGGCAGCTCAAGGATACCACATGCGAGAAGAGAAGGACATTTGGCTACTCCAATATCTATATCTTTCGTTACCACGTATGTTGTATGGTCGAAAAAATTGGTTCAAGAAGTGGGCAGTGTCTTCGAACTCCCAGAAGTCAATGGCCAAGTAGAAGAAAAGCGTGCTGAATATGTCGACAACATTAAGGACAAGAGGTTTGAGGGAAAACGGAAGTGTCAGAAGTTGAAGAAAAGTTTCCATGTTTGCCATTGCTTATTGCCTGTCACGCCTTCCCGTTACTAGACCTGAAACAACCTCTTTATAAAGCTGGTCAGTTCCCTTCAATGGTTCGTTGTAATTCCACTTGCTCTTGCATTCCGTATATAAACCCCAGGGCCTGCTACTTTCTGTTTGTCCTTCATCTTTCCACTACACCGGCATGTGTATCAGCTCCAAGTGATGATCAAGAAATTGGATTGGACAACTCGTTGACTCTTTCTCCACAAGTTCAGGCAGCATACTGGGGAAGTGAGCAAAGAGGAAGGAGCGGAGGACAGAGTGACGAAACAAAGTCCACATATACCTGCCCCTGTCGATGCAAACGGGCCACTCACCAAGCATTTTGACTCAGTCCGTTTTGTCGTCATCCGAGGAAGGAGCGGAAGGTTGTAGTCAGGTAACAAGAACCCTCTCAAGTCTTCAGATGAATTCGACCCGTGCGCGCTAAGACGACATCGTCCTGTCTGCCTGCTCCTTCCTTCACTTTCCCATCTGGATTTTACTTGCCCCTGGCAGAACAATCTCAGACCGCCCTGCTTGCACATAACCATTTCGCAAAAAGCCAACCTCAAACTTGCCCCTCCAAGCTCACTCATTAACGACACAACCACAAACAACACCACCACCATCATCATCACCAACCAACCAAGATGACTCGTCATCAAAAGAAACCTTGCCCCCACAAAAGGCTCTATGAAGCGGCGCAACAGCGCCGCAGACAAAGAGAGCAAGAGGCCGTAGAAGCTCTCATGCTTCTGAGAGCAGGCTTTGGCGAGTTCGGCCTCTGGGGAAACGTCCCGGGTAACGTGCCAGGGACGCTGCCACTTCAGTGGCAGTCCAACTGGCAGCCCTTTCCCGGCTCGCGCCCGGTCTCGTTCGGCCCTGTTGCTGTGGGTGGCAGCAACCCGCAAACCACCAATCCCACCACCATCACCACCATCACCCGCAGCGCCAACACCAACACCAGGGGCAACATCCCCAGCGGCACGTCCAGTGGCTACGGCCACTCACACAACAACGGCCCTACCACTTCTGCGGCGAGGTTGAACACACTGGCAACGGTGGCTGCTGACAGCCGGCCACTGCCCCTGCCCGCGCCCATGGGCCGAGTGAACAACAGGCCCTTGCAGGATAGGGCCAACGGCTGTGAGTCTTCGCCTTGTTGTCATTATATACTGTTGTTGAGTGGAAGCTAACTCAAACCTAATGATAGCCACATCCGCCAGGGAGAGCACCAGAGCCCGTTCGCGAGCTCCTTCACCAGAGGGTCAGCGCCGCTCACCAGCTCCTTTGCCCGAGGACCCAGGCTATAGGGGTCCGTCGAGGTAGTAGGCCGGCAGGTAGCGGAGTGGAGGGGAGGGAAAGGACGGTTGTGGCGCCGAGCAGTAAGCCTGCGATAGTGTAGGTGGGAAGGCCTTGAGCTTGAGGACATTTCATTTGTTGAAGAAGGGGAGTTGTGATACCCAGCATGGCTTTTACAAGATACCAGGAACCTATAATAGGACGAGGGGATGAACTTTTTGCTGGACGTCTTCTGTCTGATGGAAGAATCATATCGAATGATCACGAAGATATATGCAATCCGACAAGACGCGTCATTCACCTCTCACAAATCTCATCTGTGATCACCTGTCTCAAGTTTTCATCAGTGACAGCGTGCATGTGATATGGTGTGGGTGCAGTGGAGTACCGAAATGTGGTAGAGAAGATAGTTATAGTAATGTACCTCTGATCATGATCTAGTGGTACTTGTACTGAGTCCACCATATTCGAGAAACTAAGAAGAAACCAAGGAGCAGTGAAATGATCGAGAGCATTCGTGATAAGTCGAAGTTCAGGAATCCAAAATCGATCTTGAGGCGTACAAGGAAAACTGGGTAATCTACGTTCTCCTCCCGCGCCTGTTGATCCCAAGGAGATGGAGAGGGGACTTGCCTTCTAGAGGCAATCATCGTAATACAAATATCTGGTCCACGTCGCCCCTCTGCCTTTTGCCTTCTTCCTGCTCTCCTTCATCCTCCACCCTCAATCATACAAAAACAAAACTACCAACCTAATTCGCAGTGCTTGAACGCGGCGGGATGGGCAAGGTAGTTAGACGGAACGTATTCTGGTGCCCGTCGATATCACAGTTCTCGAAGGGTACTTCGTTGACTGCTTTTGACCGCCTAGTATCTATCTATTCCTTCAGACTGCTGCGACTCAGAATTATACAACAAATTGACTCGGAGGACGACGCAGAGCGGACATGACCAAAGCAAACGGGATATCTACCACGTTGCCAGTTGACGTTTAGTCCAACGTATGATATTGAGTCTCGTCAAAGCGTACCTATCTGGTGTCGGCCCCAATATTGTCAGTAAATAAAGACAGGCAGAGAGACCAAAAAGAGGAGAATGTAGATAAGTTAGGGACATGGTTCGGTGCGCTCGTTGGGGTAGAGTGTTCCTAGGTGTAGTAGTTCCCTTCCAGCACGATCTTGTGTCAGTCGATGGGCTCAAAAGGCCGGTGAAAGGTTGTTTGGCTGAGTATCTAGCGGTAGGTACCTCTACGTGATGAAACATGAAATGATGTGGTCGAACGACCTGGATTAAGTGTGCTTAGGTGAGCTTTCCATCCTCGCCTCTGAGTCTCTGACAAATTGGATTACCTCCTCAATGGGAATAACGTCTCAGGTAGCTCGGCGGTGGCGCCCATGGTTGCCGCCCCTCTCACAACTTCCAGATATGTTCCATCTCAGAGACCCACAGAGCCGATGTAACTCGAAATACATGGGGCCCAAGCTGCTGTATATTTTATCAATCACCAACATCAGCGTCAATAAGATCCAGTCTCCAACGGCGCCCAACTCGCAACTTTGATCACCGCCTCGTCAAATCCCACCATGGGCGGGGGCGTTGACTGCTTGATGAGCGAGTTCGAATGTATGTTATATACCGCTGTTGTAGGAAAGAACTATCAAGTTGTATAGAAAGGTTGAAAAACATTATCGACACGTTAGACTCCAACCCGACTAATCCCCCTGAGTTGATCCCGGTGCGCCCGGACTGAAAGCTAGAAGAAACAGAACTTGATAGCCAGCGTGTCAAAGATATACCAAAGACAGAGGCGTATAAGAGATCTTCTAGCTCTCCGGTACTGAAGGACAAGCCCGAAGCCCCTCCAAGGTGCTCATGTAGTCGGGAAGAGTTCCGCTCCAATCCAGCATCTAGTGTACGTGTCCCCAACACCTCACGCTTCATGCATCGCAGCACCTCCCGCTCAAGCATCGACCTCCTGCCCCTCCAACTCCCCCTCCGTCCACTGCCACAACTTGCTCGCCAACTCCTCATCCTTCGCCCATCCACTTTCTCCCACCCTCTTCCCCACCGGCAGGAAATACGCACACTTGCCTTTCCCATCACTTTGCACCTGCTCTCTCGGCGCCGTCGCCGCCCAAACCTGATTCTTCGCTCCATCCTCCACCGTGCTCAAAAAGAATTTGAGGAACCCCGTGACCGCCCACCCGATCCACCCACTATTGCGGAACGGGTGGAAAAGCTGCGTGTTGACCGCGCCGGGATGCAGCGCCACCACCGTCAGCTCCTCCGGATAATGCGCAGCAAGCTGTTTGCCAAACAAGATGTTGGCGAGTTTGGATTGGCCGTAGCGCTGCCACGTCAAGATGGAGGATTGGTTGGATTTCAAAGTCGCGAAGTTGATGCCCAAAAGAGGCGGAAGACGATGGCCTTCAGAAGACAAGACAACAACGCGGACGTCCGGAGGTGCGGTAGGGGTGCCGTCCGCCGGCTGGGGGAGGTCATTACCTTTGGCGCTGCGGGCGGTTTTGAGCAGGAGAGGAAGCAAGAGCTTGGTGAGCAAGGCGTGGCCGACGTGGTTGGTACCGAACTGGATCTCGTAGCCTTCGGCGGTGACGCCGGTGGCGGCGGCCATGATGCCGGCGTTGAGCATGAGGATGTCGAGTCGGTCGCTTTCGGCGAGGACGGTCCGGGCCGCGGATTTGATGGAGTCGAAGGAGGTGAGGTCGAGGTCGAGGGGCTTGATGATGGAAGAGGCGTCGAAGTCGGGATTGACGCCGGAGGACTGGACGGCGGCGGAGATGTCGTCGATGGCGGATTGGGCGCGCTCGAGGGAGCGGGAGCAGAGCCAGATGCGCGAGGGGAGAGAGGCGGCGGGCTGGCGGACGAATTCGAGGATGGATTGCTTGCCGAGGCCGGCGTTGCCGCCTGTCACGAGAATGGTTTTGCCATGGAGAGCAGAAGAGGGGATGTCGGTGCGGGGGTTGAAGGAGACGCCCCCCGAGAGGAAGGGGATGTAGTCCATTATTGTTGCCGTCACTGATGAATTCGTTTTGCTGTTCGAGCTTACTGGAGATTGAATAGTAAGCGTTTGTTCGTGACGGACTGTGGAGAGTCGGTAATCTTTATACTAAATGATCGTTGATGAAATGACGTTGGTGGGGGATTTGCATGATGCTATCGAAAGATACGCGAGGTGGTCCGGGCCCCTGATCAATTCCCTTTCACATGCAGCTGTCGGATCGGAGATAAGAAGCCTGGTAGGGACTTGGATCGATGACGGATATAGGCATTTTTCCAAGATGCGATTCACAATGATCGCAGGATGATGAATCCAGTAAAAGAGCTGCAAGGAGATCACCACCTTTCCAACAAATTTTCAATGAGATCTCTACACGTGTGTAACGGTGCGGCGTTGATCACAACGTTAGTGGTGATGTCAGCACTATCAGCGGGGCGGGCCGCCGTCAGGGGCAAAGTGACATCTCGAAAAAGACCCTAACCCTGACATGATCACTCGATTGTTCTGTGACGCACTTGTCAATCGTTGAGTTCGATAGCCAGAATTAATATTATTTGTCTACTGACAAGTATTTGTACTTCATAAAAGTCAACAGGAATTTCCAAGCAAAGCTCAAACGCAATGCTATCAGTTGGTATCTCCGGTAGATGAGCCAGAACGCCGTAAAATGCATCATCAAACATGACATACCCATAATCCCAGAAATGCATGATCATGCATCATCTCATCATCCATCATGGACCCCTCAGTCATAAACGCTAGGTCTCGACCACTTCGACCTCTTTCTGATCCTCTTTCCATAGACGAAAAAGACAAACGGAACGGGTATCAACAAAGCCGCAAACCCTCCGGTAATCGACGATCCCGGTCCCACACCAATGTTATGGAACATGGGAGTGACAACCAAGGGAAACGCGCATGCAAAGCACGAGCGGAGGAACGTGTTCGCAGCCACCGCCGACGCCGCATACCGCGTAAACGTATCGACCAAGTAATTCAGCGCAGCCTGGAAGATCATGAAGAATCCCGATCCCATAAGAACCAGACCGATGCAGGGCACAATCCAGTGAATATCTTTGGGCGCAGTCCACCCGAGCATGAACTGCCCACCCGAAAAGATCACGGACCCAACCATCATGGGCGGCAGACGGCGTTCAGGAACGGCGCGGTCGCCAGCGGCGTGGTACGCCTTGTTGTAGAGAAACTGGTTATACACGTTCGCGCCGCAACCGATCATGGCACCAATGAAGATGCACAATAACGGCAGAGTAGCAACCAGCTGCGTCCACCCGCGGACTTCGCCAAAGATAATGGGAATCGCGCCAAGCTGCATGTACAGAATACCGTAGCAGAAGCTAGCATAAAGAGCGACGAGGAAGCAGATGGGCGTGCAAAGGAGCTGCACCGGGCGAAGTAAGAACTTTTGGGCGAGCTCAGAGAAGGTGACGTCCCATTCCTCAAACTTGGCGTGGAGTGCCCAGTTTCCGGTTTGGATGCGCAGGCGACGAGCTTTGTTGACGAGCAGTCGCGGAGGATAAGATTCGTCGATGAAGATCAAGCCGAGAGCGAGAACGAAGGCTTGTAGGATGCCGGTGAGGTAGAGGGTCCAGCGCCAACCGAGACTGGGCTGAATGGCAACCGCAGCTGAGACGACGGGGCCTGTGAGGAAAATAATGATAAATTAGCCGAGGCCAACGGGAAAGAGATAGAAATGAGAAAGCGGGGCGTACCGATGGCTGGACCACCAACAACTGCCATGGCATATCCCGCCATGGCGATACCTCTTTCGGCAGGCGAGAACAAGTCTCCCAGCACACCACCGGTGTTGGTCACAGGAGCCGAAGAAAAGAAGGCACCAAAGAAGCGGGTAATCATCAGAGTTTGATAGTCCTTGGCAGTGGCACTACCGAAGCTGAAACAAGTGGCAAAGAACATGGGCACGAAGACTGCCACTCTCCTCCCAAAAACCTCACTCAACGGCGCCCATAGCAGAGGGCCAATACCGAAACCAACCAAGAAGATGGAAGTACCCAGGACAGCTACCTCATGGCCAACGTGGAAGTGATTCGAGACCTGTGCAGTACCGGCCGAGTAGCTGGAGGAGGCCCAGCTGGCACTCATGGTGATCAAGCCGTAGAGCATCGTGGTCATGATCTTCTTCTTCATGGGCCAGTTCATGGGGCGGTAGGGGTCGTCGGGACCCTCGAAGTCGACAATAACATCCTTGCCAGTCGGGGTGTGTGCTAGCGGATGGTTGAACTCGAATCGGGCGGTAGGGCGGGATCGCAGGCGCGAGAGGACAGTGTCACGTCGGGAAACAGTCTTGGTGAGGTCGAGTCTGCCGGTGGTGTTGGCGTGCTCCGGTCCTTCCTTGGTGCTGGATCTCATGCTCCGGTTGGTGCGAGTACGGGTCAGTCGGATGTCTCGGCTGGTGATGCGGTGGCCGTCGTACTCGTCGGCATCTTCGTCGCTGTCCTTTTCGGTGTCATACCCATCGTCGCTGCTGGAACTGGTGTTCATATGGCTATCGGTGTGGCGACGCGACATGGGCGATTGATTTTCAGGGTCGTCCAGAGGGTCCAAGTGCTCAGGCCTGTTGGAGTCGAGGCGTTCGTCCTGTTTCCGGGAGGAAGGCGCCCGTGCGAGAGGTGGTTGTGGTGGTTCATGCATCTGTTGCTTCTCGGCTGCAGCAGCAGCATCGATCGGTTCACGGTCCAACGGTGACATGGTACCTAATAACTTGTGCTGGAAGGAACCGTGGCCGAGTCCAAAAATGTGATTCTCACAAAGAGAGGAGTTCTTTCCATGACAAAGTTACGGATGGGACGAAGCTTCCTTTTTAAAATCTGAACTACACTAGTTTTGTTTTGTTGCTTCTTCCATGTCGACCAGGGTCATTTCGAGGGTGGCATCCGCCGGTGGGGCAGGTCAGGGAAAGGATGGCCGACGTCATAGGCCGGATTGGTTGATTGAAGGCGATTTGCAACATTTTTGCAAGGGCAACTGCTGAAGTGTCTGTAAATCCTTTCAGGAGCTCGGAGGTGCGGTGAGTCTGGGGCGGATTTAACGGCTGTCGCGTCGCTCTGTGGTTTGTTCATTCCCGTGCGCACTTGTCCTGTCCATGAAGACGCTGCCTGATCCGTCACATCTGCTTCGGTTGCGAAGAAATTTGCCCGGGAATATCGCGGACTGCTTGGTATCCTGCCATTGATCACAAGGGTTATGCCTTTACACTTTGTTTAATCCAAAAGTTGCACAAACAGTAGTGGGGCCGGGCCGGTTTTCGGCTAACCTCCGCCGTGGCGAGTGGTTCCCCGGTCCCGTATCGGCCGCCGTGACATGGTACCACTTTATCCCTTTCTTGTCAGCCACGGAGCGCAATCGGCAACAGAAAAGAAGACAGGCAACACAAGGTGATCCGAGACCTCCATCGAAACAGCGCCTGTAACTGAAACTGCAATTGTATTCTTCAGTTCACCGAGTTGAAATGTTCTCGAATTGATCAACGGCGGCGTCGTCAGCTCCGCCGAAGCCAAGTCCACCAGGTGGGTCGCGGATAACGGCAAGTGGACCGGGCCTCGGGGGCTAACAAATGTGGAACTGCGGATATTTGGAACAGTTTGCAGTTGCTCAACGGTTTTCTGGAAAACTTCATGAAAAACTTTATGACGATCTCGTTTTCACTTCGTGCTGACTCACCACGTCGGCCGGTTCTTTTCACGACAGAGTGACTCTTTATATTCTACAAGTTCCAGTTGGCGTCCGACCCAGGCGAGCTATGCTATTGCCGCATGGTATTCCGGACTCGGCACCATCAATCGGCTTATGACGCATGTGATAATCTCACCTCACATGGAACAGGGGATGCTGAACATCCGGGTCTTTGAGCAGCGCCATGAACGACTTTACCTATAATTTCATGTTCAATGATCACTATCCTTCGCGACCCGCCATGTCTTGACTGCAGACACTGCAGGCTTTTGGGCATCTCTTCGCTCGCTTCCCCCATCTGTGACAACGTGAGGTAGAAATTGTCTATATTTCCTTTCTTCACTTGCGGTTGACATTATGTTGTTCTCCCTCGGTAAAGTCAACACGTCAAGCAACTCGCAAAGAACCGGGTCGAACAACGAGCACGGCCAATACGTACTGGTTGATTTGTTCAGGTTGGAGGGTGTTCTTATCGATCACTGCTGGTAGACCGTCGGTTTTGGCTTGGGCTTTCTAGTTTCTATCTCTTATCCGTTCCTTCCTTAGGTAGGTAGGTAGTTAACATTCTCTCGTTGTCAACATCGTGGTCTATGTTTACTGGGAGTTTCTCGCATTGCCTAGTAAACAGACGCCCGGCCATTGTAGGTACTTTAACTTGACCATTGCAGTGCCCTACACTAGTGCCATTGATCATGATGTACAGTGATCGATGACCTATAATGCTTGCTGTGAGCCCCGAGGTGATAGAGAGCTCCAGTCAGATGGGTGCGGGCAGTGGAGTAGAGCATGTAGTGGGGAGGTACGGTACATAGAAATACCTCTACTTGGTACACCTCTGCTTGGATTTGAAAGGTTAAAATGGTACAGCTAAGCTACTAGCTAAGCCGCCAGCCAAGCCGCTAAGGCTACAATAAACTAGGGCTTTTATATAGAAAAACCTTCCTTTTATTGTACCCTATCTTCTTATCTATCTTTTTATCTAATAATTAATACTATCTCTATTTGCCTCAATAATCTTTTCTATTCTTTCCGGCATTGAATAGGCCAACTTTAAAAGGAAATCCTCTAGGACTATATCCTAAACTTCTTGAATGGCTACTCTAAGTTATAATGGGTTAAGAGCTTGAATATTGTATTTATACTCTATAAGTAACTTCATCCAATACTAAACGTTCTCAATTGGTACTAAATCCGGAGAGTAAGCTAGAAATCGTCTCTAACTAAGCCTAGGGATTTCTATTAATTCTAATACTCTCTAAGTCACTTTTACCCGATAAAAAGGAATATTATCGTACTAAAAAATAAGGCTATTTTCTCGGCAAAAGGCTACTACTATCGGAAGGATAAAAGAAATATACTTTTAAGTAGTAATTCCTCCAAATTCCTTTTCCTAAAAGAAATAAAGCCCTTTTCTTCTTCTAGTAAAGGATCCCTAAAATATCCAACCATGAGGTTTTCTCTTAGTAAGAGTAAAGTTATTTAGATTATCATCCTTGTCCAAAATTACCTATTATTTCTATATTAAATTATTAATTACCCAAATCTTATTAGAATTAAGGATATCCTCCTAATCTTCCGGATAAGGGCAAAATTTTCTTATTTCTTAGTACTATTAAATTCTTTCTCTTTTATTAATAATACTTCTTTTTATTCTTTTAATTTTTAGTTTTTAATAAAACCTAAGAGAGTAAAGTATTTTCTTTAGAACTTCGGGGCCGGCAATAAGGTAGGGAGGAAGGTAGAGAAATAAATTATACTAGGAGATAAATCTCCGAGAGCGCTCCTCTTTTATTTATTCCTTAAATTCATTTTTCTCGGAAGTCTTTAAAAGACCTTACTTTTTTCGCTTTTAGGGAGTGACAGGGCCAATACAAGCAAATTAGACTTACCGCATAATAAACCCCATCTTTTTAATAATATTGGTATAGTTTAAATTAATGTAATTATAAAGTACCCGGATTTAAAGCCGTTCATCCCTTATTAAATACCGTAATCCCGTCTTTTTTAGTATTGAGGGAGCTGGATATTAGGAGGCTAAGAGCTCGTACACAGAGGCACCTCAGCGGCTACTACTCCCCTTCGTTAACGGAAGCGTAGGATCATTTACAATAACGCCCATCTCGGGTCAGACCCGCGGGAAGGATAATCTAGTACTGCGCCGAAGCGCTAGACTAATATAAGGCTCTATAATACTCATTAGCGGAGGAATAGAGTTTATATAAGTATAAAAGAGGTTTAATAAAGTATATCTTATTATAGTCGGTAATTATTAATATATCTTTAAATTAACCCCTAATTTACCGTCCCCTACGTATAGCCACGACCGTAATTACCTTAACCTACCTTTCGCCTACATTCCTAATAAATTAATAACTCTTCTTTTAGGAATTGAGTTGATACTATTAAGATATATATACGTAGTAGCCGGTCTATTTCTTGTACTACCGAGGCTATTCCTCGTCCTTCTCGCACTACTACCCCTATAATTACTATAATTAAAATAATCCAATCCCTTCTACCCTTATTATAATAATACTAGCCTACTATAGAGTCCGTTGAAGAAGATAGTAATAAAGACTATTCTCCTATACTACCCTAAACTCCCTATTCGTACCCCTAAACTTCGGAAATTAATAAGCTTGTATATAAATAATAATTATTTAAATTTTAATTTATTATAATTAAATTCCTCTTTAATTACTTCCCCTCGTATATATCCTAGTAAGAATAATTTGTATTTATAGGCCTCACTAAATAAAATTCAATAGGAAATTACCCCCTTATTCTTACTAAATTCTATTATTAAAATTACCTCTTCTATAACTAAATTCGTATTTCTACTATATTTCCCCTTACTACTCCTTTATCAGCGGCCGTTACTATAGTTACCCCTTTACTAATTACGGTTACGCCGGCCTATATTAAATACCGTCTTAAATATAATATTATTAAATTCACTAACGAAAATTTCTTATAATTATAGAATTACTTCTATAATATCGATATATACTTTCAAAAATACCCCTATACTTCCCTCTCATTTACTATTAATTATATTAAAAATAATCCTAAGAATATATAAATTAAATATATATTAACTTTCTATAGTAAGCCTAATTATAATACTATTTATAATATACCTATATAGAATAACCTTTGTACTTTCTTAGAGACCGAATATAATAGTAATACCTAGGCTATTAAATAATCTATTTTCAATAAATTCGAATATATATAGTAAGGCGCCTTGGAAACCGTTTGTACCTTCTATAATCGCTATTATACCGAAGAATTTAATTTATTATACAATTAACCGGAATATACTTAAATTATTACTTAGGCTAACCGATTACGCCCCCTCTTTAAATAAAGTATCCTCTTAACGGCTAATATTAATACAATAAACAAAGTAATAGCGTACGCAAAATAGTTAGAAGGCCTAGAAAATATCGAACTATCCGTATTATATTACTAATACTAAGTATTTTTAGGGTATAATCCATTATTTTCTTTATTTTCGTACCCTTCTACCCCCTCTTCGAATATCCCTTCTTAATCGTCCTATAGTAATAATCCTTCCGATTTTCTCCGTCGCCCCCCTACTACTTTTTAAATAAATTTTAATTTTATTTATTCCTTTTATTATTAGAAAAATTATACGTATAACTAATATACCTAATCGAAACTACCGAATATTTACTACGAATATAATATAATAAGCTATTTTATAGCGGCATACCCGAACCGAGCTTATTACAATTACGATTAAATTAACTATTTAGTACGGAATTACCCTATCCCTATAAGTGCCCCTTTATATAGAGCGAATATTAAACCAATTATAGTTAGAGTAGTAATTATAACTACTTAGGATAATATAGGTAGATTATAAATATATTTAGAAATAAAATTATTAGTAAAGATTTATAGAGATTAATAGAATATATAAAGGTTAATAAATTCGAATACGGAATTAAATTTAATTAATAAGTATTTATTCCTATCGAATACGAAAA